AAGGCCTAAGGAGCTGACATCTAGGTCCAGATAGAACCAGAAGTCATCCAGATAACCTTCCAGGTGCAGCCCAGTATCTGCACTTGAAACATCCTGCCCTGCCCCTTCTACCTGATAACCTTCCAGGTGGGGTCCTGCCCCTTCTGCCTGATATCCTTCCAGGTACAGCCCAAACATCCTACCGGTCTTCCAGGGGGTCCTGCCCATCCTTCCTCTAACTGGAGCAATGCAGCCAGGCTTCCTCCTGTCTGATAACTTCAGGGGGAAAACTCAGATAGGAATTTTTCGTATTTACATACAAAAAGTCCTTTGTTCCAGGAGGAGCAGAAGTGGGGAGGCAAGACCGATCCCCTTAAAACCACACACACACACACACACACACACACACACACCGTCCTCAACCAGACTGTGCGCTCAGCCCTCTGCCTCTCTGCTGAGCTGTCCGCGTGGCCTGGCCAGGTGTATTCTCTCCACTCAACCATGTAACCTCGCTCTCCCCTGGTCTGAGCAACTGGGCAGTCTCTCTCAGGTTCTGTCTGGAGAGGTACCCATCTGTCCTTACGGATGTCCCTGCCCTAATAAACCTTGCTATTTGCTTTCCACTTACTACTCCGTCTCACACCTGAATTCTTTTCTTGTGTGAAGAAAAGAACCCTTGCATTCTCCAGTAACACCCCCATATCAGCAATAAGTAGCCAGACAGAAACTGGCATCTCGTCTCCTTGTCTTTTTTTAGATTTATTTATTTATTTATTTGAAAGTCAGAGTTACACAGAGGAAGGGGAGGCAGAGAAAGAGGAGAGAGAGAGAGAGAGAGAGAGAGAAAGGTCTTCCATCCCTGGTTCACTCCCCAGTTGGCTGCAACCCATCTGAATCCAGGAGCCAAGAGCTTCCTCCAGGTGTCCCACGTGGGTGCAGGGGCTCAAGGACATGGGCCATCTTCTACTGCTTTCCCAAGTGCAATAGCAGGGAGCTGCATGGGAAGTAGAGCAGCCAGGACTCAAACCCACGCCCATATGGGATGCCAGCACTGCAGGTATCGGCTATACCCACTGTTATATCTTAATGTTAGCCGTCGCAAAGCACACAGGACACCGGAGTAAGGGGAAGGGTTTATTGGGGAACAACCTACAGACCGGAGTGAAGGGGCGGCGAAGGAAAAAGAGAGAGGGTATAAGAGAGAAACAGGAGAGGAGCTAGCAAGGGGAGAAGAGAGAGCAGAAAAGAGGAGAGAGGAGAGCAGAGCCAAGAGCCCAGAGGAGGAGGCTAGAGAGAGGAACCGAGAGAGAGCAGGAGAGAAGGACCGAGAAAGCACTTGTTCAGGAACAGGCCCTTTTAAAACTTTGCCTGAGGGTGGGCAGGGAAGCAGGAGCAGCCAATCCCATTAGGATGGGGGTGGAGCCTGGCTCAGGTAGCTGGGCCATTCAGCTACCTGGCTACAGCTGCGCCAGTTTCCTCACACCCACTACACCACAGCACCAGCCCCACATCCTATTGTCTTTACACCCCACCCCTGCATTCTTCCTCAGGTTCCCAGGCCCAGCAGCTCCTTAAAAGTCAAGTATGGAGGAATTTATCTCTGCCTGCTGCTCCCTACCCCCCCCCCCCCCAGCCCACCTAAGATATAAAGAGGCCTGGCCCCTGGGGTCAAGGCCCTCTGCCCTCTGTGTCCAGTCGTGTACCCTGGCAGTTGGTCACCCACCTCTGCAGATTTCTTTTCTCTGAATAAATTTGGTCTGATTGTAGATTTGTATCCTGCCTCCTCTCTGTTCTGTGCCTCTTTTCCTAACAGAGTGCAGGCATACTAAGTGGGGACTTCAGCCACTGTGCCCAAAACCCGCCCCTGGAAACAGTTGTAACAGTCGTCATTACTGGATTGGTTAAATAAATTATGGTATATCCATAAACTAAATATTATATAGCTATAAGAAAATTCTAGGAAACTCGTTAGGCACTGATATGAAAGAATTGTCCAAATCTATTGAAATATGTAAATAAAGCTAAAATTTGTTTTTACAAGAGGGTAGCAGTACTTAGGGATGCATGCATATATTTGTCATATTTACATAAAATATTTCTGGAAGAATAAAGGAAACTGGGAGGGCTTGGAATTAGGATGGGAGGGAGAATTTTTATATTGGTTTTTGAACATTGTTTCATGTATTGAGAGTAATTAAAAATAACTAGGGGCAGGCATTTGGTGTAGTGGTTAAGACTCTATGTTGGAGTGGTTAGGTTTAAATTTGGCCCAACTTCCAATTCCAGCTTCCTGCCAATGTGCACTCTGAGAGGCAGCAGATGATGGCCCAAGTACCTGGGTCCCTGCTGCACGTGACAGACCCACATTAAATTCCTGGCTCCTTACTTTGTCATGGCCCAGCCCCAACTCTTATAGGCATTTAGGGAGTTAAACCAGTGAATAGAAGCCCTCTCCCCACCCCCCTTTTTTTTTCTCTCTCCCTCTAATCTTTGCCTTTCTGGCCAGTGTGTGGTGTAGCAGGTAAAGCTGCCGCCTGTGACACTGGCATCCCATATGGGCACCAGTTCGTGTCCTGGCTGCTCCATTTCTGATCCAGCTCTCTGCTTATGGCCTAGGAAATGCAGCAGAAGGTGGCCAAATGTTTGGGCCCTTGACACCCACATGGGTGACCCAGATGAAGCTCTGGGTTTTGGCCTGGCCCAGCCCTGGACATTGACTCCTGGCTTTGGACTGGCCATTTGCAGGAATTTTGGGAATCAACCAGTGGATGGAAGATCTCTCCTTCCCCCTCTCTCTCCCTGTTTGTCATTTTGCTTTTCAATTATAAATCAATAAAACTTTAAACAGTAAAATCACTGATGAAAATGATAAAACACAAAAAACATAGCATTACATAAATCATGGAAAATACACTGTTTACAATTCCAGAGTTGAAATAAGAAGGCTTTGTTTGATCTTGGTTAGGAATGTGTACTTTAGCCAACCCAAATGTTTCACCATCTCTCAAACTCATCCATTTTTTAAAGAGATTTATTTTACTTATTTGAAAGACAGAATTAGAGAGATTGAGGAACAAACAGAAAGAGATCTTCCATCCGTTGGTTCATTATCCAAATGGCCATGATGGTCAGGGCCAAGCTAGGCTGAAGCCACGAACCGGAGTCACAGACGGCAGCCTAAACCGCTACATTACAGTGCCAGCCCATCAAAATTGATTTTATGGCCGGCGCCACGGCTCACTAGGCTAATCCTCCACCTTGCGGCGCAGGCACACAGGGTTCTAGTCCCGGTCGGGGCGCCGGATTCTGTCCCGGTTGCCCCTCTTCCAGGCCAGCTCTCTGCTGTGGCCAGGGAGTGCAGTGGAGGATGGCCCAAGTACTTGGGCCCTGCACCCCATGGGAGACAGCGCACCAGCCGCGGCGGCCATTGGAGGGTGAACCAACGACAAAGAAAGACCTTTCTCCCTGTCTCTCTCTCTCACTGTCCACTTTGCCTGTCAAAAAAAAATAATTTTGTGGTTACAAATAAATATTTGTGAATAGGCCAATTGGTAAATACAGAATCTGCAGATAATAAACATCAAGTATATTGTTAACAGAGAAACTTTAGAGCCACAAAATTTAACAGTCTGAGTAGGAGCCCGAGTTGTGGCGCAGTGGGTTAACCCAACACCTGTGATCCCGTACCGGAAAGCCAGTTGAAGTCCTGGCCCCTACACCCACAGGGGAAACCAGGATGCAGTTCCTGGTTCCTGGCTTTAGCCTGGGCCAGCCTCACCAGTTTAGGCTATTTGGGGAGTGAACCAGCACAGGGAAGATCTCTCTCCCTCACTCCCTGCCTTTCAAATAAGTAACAAATAAAGCTCAAAAGAAGAAAAGATTCTTTATTAACAAAGAATAGTTTGAGGAAAAAAGGATTCATGAACGGGGCAGCATTCAGTATCAGAAAGGTGCAGGGTGCTCAGCACCCCAAGGGATCCACAGGAGCCCAATGGGTTTGCCTTCCTCGGAGTGGCCTGATCAGCGGCTCCCTGGGATTGACAAGGCTTGGCTGCTTGCGCTTAGCTGAACTCTGATTACTAGGTTAAGTGATGTTTTGGTTTCTTTGCTTAGGCCAGAACTCTAGCCACCGTGACAGCGTCACGGACTGACGTATTCATAATTTCCTTTAATCTCCAGAAATAATACGTGCCAGCCAGCGCTGTGGCTCACTAGGCTAATCCTCCGCCTTGCGGCGCCGGCACACGGGGTTCTAGTCCCGCTCAGGGCACCAGATTCTGTCCCAGTTGCCCCTCTTCCAGGCCAGCTCTCTGCTGTGGCCAGGGAGTGCAGTGGAGGATGGCCCAAGTGCTTGGGCCCTGCACCCCATGGGAGACCAGGATAAGTACCTGGCTCCTGCCTTCGGATCAGCGCGGTGCACCGGCCGCAGCAGCCATTGGAAGGTGAACCAACGGCAAAGGAAGACCTTTCTCTCTCTCTCACTGTCCACTCTGCCTGTCAAAATAAATAAATAAAAATAAAAAAAGAAAGAAAATAATACGTGCTGAAGAACTTCATGTTGTAAAGACGGGCCCACGGCTGGCACGGACCCTCAGGGTTTTGCTTCAGACGCTGCATCCCTGCGTGGAATCCCCCCACCCACCGGCCGTGGCTGTTGTGCCCGGAAGTTTAAGAGGTGCGCTGACCCTGGCAACAACGCCGAGGACAGCACCCAGATATCGACACTCAGCGTCCTCAGGCCGCCTCCGGCCTCAAGCGCTAGCTACCCCAGGCCCACCCTCTGTCGCTGCAAAGAACAGAAACTCCGGGTCAGTGACGAGCAGCGGCCGGGAGTTCCAGGCCTTTCTGGAAGCTGAGGCTCCAGCCCCGCGCCCGTGACCTCTGGACCTCCCTCCCCCGCTGCAGAGGAGCGCTCGCGCAGGCGCCGTCGCCCCGCACCGCCCCGGCGCGCGCCCCTCCTCCCGCGCCGGCCCCGCCCCTCCGCGCGCGAGCCTGTGCCGCGAGCGCTCCAGTCGGTCCCAGCCGCCGGCCGCTACACCTCGCTGCGCTGTAATCTCCGGCACTGGCCAAGCCATGTCCTCTTCCGCGCGGAAGTTGGCGCCCCTGCGCAGGGTGTTCGTGGTAGGGGTCGGCATGACCAAGGTAAACGGTGCCGCGGAGCCCGGAGGTGGGCTCCCTGCCCCTCTGGCCCGCGCGAGGCCGGGGGCACCGCGGCGACGGGGACCGGCCGGGCCGCGCCCTCGGTCGGTGCGTCCTTCTTGCCCCGGATCGCCCGGCTCTGCTTTCTGGCGTGGGCGGCAGCGGAGTGGCTACTCGAGTGGGCCGTCACGTGGGGTGTCTCTGGGGTCTGAGTGACGGCGGCCGGTGCTTTCCCCTCCTCCTTCCCTGGTGAAGGAGCCCCCGAGGTAACGCCCGGCTCTCGCCTGCTTTGGTGCTGACTGGAGTCCCGCCTGGAGAACAGGCTCTGGCTTCCTAGGAGTACCCGCTGCGGCAGCCCCTCTCGGGCAGCTCCAGGTGGGGAAGTGGAGTGGGAGCAGCCCGGTGACGCGCATCCCCTGGGCAGGTGGCAAGTTTCCTGGCTCCTCAGGTGTGGGCCAGGGGATCGTCTGATCTTCTCCAGGAAGTGTCTGTGACCCCCCCCCCCACTTTTCCCGTAGAGCCCTGTCCTTTGGCTTTTTTTTTTTTTAATATAAATTTTTTATAGTTTTTTTTTTTTTTTTTGACAGAGTTATGGACAGTGACATATATATAAATCTTAATTTGAAAGGCAAAGTGACAGGGAGAGAGGGAAAGACAGAGATCTTCCATCTCCCGGTTCATTCCCCAAATGGCTGCAATAGGCCAGAGCAAGGGCTGGCAGAAGCTAGGAGCTAGGAACCCCAACTTGGTCTCCTGTGCGGGTGATGGGGTGGGGGTGCCCAACCACCTGAGCCATCATATGCTGCTTCCTAGGATGGTTTAGCAGGAAGCTGGATCAGAAGCAGAGTAGCAGGACTTAAACCAGCCCTCCAGTATGGTATGTGGGTGTCCCAAACAGCACCCCAACTCACTGTGAAACAATGCCTGCCCCTAGAGAGAGAGAGAGACAAAGAGAGACTTCCATCCCCAGCTTCATTGCCAAAATGGTGCAATAGCTGGGGCTGGGCTAAGCTGAAGCCAGGAGCCAGGAACTCCATCCAGGTCTCCCATGTGAGTGGCAGGCGTCCAAGTACTTGGGCCATCTTCTGCTGCCTTTCCAGGTACATCAGCTGGAAGCTGGGTGGGAAGCAGAAGAGCGGAGACTTGCGACGTTGGCATCCCATTTGACTGCTGGTTCTTGGGATGGAAGATCTTTGTCTCTCTTCCTTTCTCTCCATGAATCTGCCTTTAAAATAAATCTTTTAAAAAAGATTTTATTAATATAAAGATAACAGATTTCATGTGTTTCATGGGTTCAAGTCTAAGGAAATAACTGTACTTCCCTCCCTCCCCCAATCATCCTCCTTCCTTTCATTTTTTCTTCAATTTTTGCAAAAAAATTAATTTCAATCTCTATAACCATGGAAATAAATCTTAAAAAAACACAAAAGTTGACTAATGGATTATAAAGCAGAAGTTGAGAGATTATCGTTCCACGGAAGAGAGGGCTTTTTAAAAAAATGTTAAAGATTTTTGTTATTTATTTGAAAGGCAGAGTTACAGAGAGGCAGAGGCAGAGAGAGAGAGAGAGAGATTATTCACTCTGCTGGTTCACTCCCCAGATGGCCACAACTGCCGGAGCTGGGCTGATCTGAAGCTAGGAGCCTGGAGCTTCTGGGTCTCCCATTTGTGTGCAGGGACCCAAGGACTTGGGCCATCTTCTACTGCTATCCTAGGCCATAGCAGAGAGCTGGATTGGAAGTGGAGCAGCCGGGACTCGAACCGGCGCCCATATGGGATGCCGGCAATGCAGGTGGCGGCTTTACCTGCTAAGCCACAGCACCAGCTCCAGAAGAGGAGGCTTCTAACAAGGGTGGACCTAAGCTTTCTAATTATTATATGAATGCAATCACATCTTTTGTTGGTTGTTGAATGCCTGATTACATGGGGTGTATAGAAAAGCAGGTTTCTTTTAAATAAAGATTTTATTTATTTATTTGAGATGTAGAGTCACAAACAGTGAGAGAGAGAGAGATGTCCTCCCTCCGTTAGCTCACTCCCCAGATGGCCACAACAGCCGGAGCTGTGCCGATCCGAAGCCAGGAGCCAGGTGTTTCCTCCTGGTCTCCCACATGGGTTCAGGGGCCCAAGCACCCAGGCCATCCTCCACTGTTCTCCCAGGCTATAGCAGAGAGCTGGACTGGAAGAGGGGCAGCCAGGACTAGAACTGGTGCCCATATGGGATGCCAGCGCCGCAGGCAGAGGATTAACCCACTGCACCATGGAGCAAGCCCCTCTTTTTAAAGATTTAAAATTATTTAAAGCTGGCATTGTGGCATAGTAGGTAAAGACGCTGCCTGTGATGCCAGGATCTCATATGGGTGCCAGTTTTTCCCAGCTGCTCCACTTCTGATCCAGCTTCCTGCTAATGGCATGGGGAAAAGCAGCAGAAGATGGCCCAAGTGCTTGGGCCCCTGCTGCTCACGTGGGCAGGTCTCTCTGATCACCTTGACTACCTGTGATGACTATAAGACTTCCTGAGAAACCCTTATTTATTTATTTTAAAAAATTACCTGAAAGAACTACAGTAAAAGAGGGAGAGAGAAGGAGATCTTCATCCACTGGTTCACTCCCCAAATGGCTACAACAACCAGGGCTGGGCCAGACTCAAGCCGTGAGCCTGGAACTCCATCCAGGTTTCCTATGTGGGTAGCAGGAGCCCAGTACCTGGGCCTTCTTCTGCCTTCCCAGGCTCATTGGCAGGAAGCTGGATTATAATCGTGGAGAGGCTCTGATACGGAATGTTGGTGTCTTAGTTCTTGGCTTAACCCACTGCTCTACAACTTCAACCTTGGTTTAAAGTTTTTGTTCTTTCTTTGAAAGGCAGAGTGAGAAAGAGAGAAGCAACTTTCAACTGCTGGTTTACCTCAAATGCCTGCAGTAGTCAGGACTGTGCCAGGCCAAAGGCAGGACCCAAGAGCTCCATCCTGGTCCCCCACATCGGTGGCAGGAACCCATACACTTGAGCCATCTTCACTCTCTCATAGGCACTTAGCTGAAAGTGCTCCTATATGAGACCAAGTGCTCCTATATGGGATGCTGCTGTCGCAAGCCGTGGCTTTATCCCGTGTCACAGAAGTAACTGGGCAGTTCAAGGGGAGAAGGAGGGAGTTCGGAGGGGAGCAGGCAGGCTCAGTAGAGTCACCCTTTCAAATAAATACATCTTTTAAAAATTACTTTTTACAGCAGCTTTAGGTTTGTAAAACTGAGCACAGGGTACAGAGATTTCCCATGTATTTCCTGTCGTCTTCCCAACTCACACTTTACTATCAACGGACAGTAGGGTAGTCCATTTGTTACAATCTATTGACCCATGTTGACATGGAATTATCACGGAAGTCCTTAGTTTACAAGAGGGTTTACTCTTGATGCTGTACATACGCATTGTTCCAATGTGTGGCAGCATATGCCCACCACGATCCTGTCACGCAGAGTGCCTCTTATACTCCAGCTGGTCTTCCCTCCTTCTCCTCCATGTCTGGCAACCACTGATCTTTTCACTGTCTCCGTAGTCTTATCTTTTCCAGAATGTCATAGGGTTGTGTTGTACGGCGTACTAGTCTCCTAGCTGGATTTATTTCAAGTTCTTACCTCTGCATGCCAGAAGAATTCAAATCAAGACATAAAGTGCAAGACTAGAACTAGGGTTTATTTAGAGATTAGAGAGAGAGTGCACCCTCAAAAGTGAATTTGGGGCCTGGCGTTGTGGCACAGCGCGTTAAGCTGCAGTCTGCATCCTTGGCATTCCATAATTGGAGTGCCGGTTTGAGTCCTGGATGTTACACTTCCAGTCCAGCTCCTGCTGGGAAAGCAGTGGAAGGTGGCCCCAGTGGTTGGACCTCTGCCATTCATGTGGGACCTGGAGGGACTTACAGGCTTCTGGCTTCTGCCTGGACTAGCTCTGGTCATTGCAAACATTTAGGCAGTAAACCAGTCGATGGAAGTCCTCTTTCTGTCTCTCCCTCTCTTTTCTTGAAGATTTATTTATTTTGTTGAGAGGTAGAGTTACAGACACAGAGAGGGAGAGACAGAGAGAAAGGTCTACCATTTGCTGAATCACTCCCCAAATGGCTGCAATGGCTGGAGCTGGGCTGATCTGAAGCCAGGAGCCAGGAGTTTCGTTCAGGTCTCCCCACAGGTGCAGGGCCCCAAGCACTTGGGCAATCTTCCATTGCTTTCCCAGGCTATGGCAGAGAGCTGTTTTGGAAGAGGAGTGGCCAGGATATGAACTGGTGCCTGTATGGGATGCCAGTGCCACAGGCAGAGGCTTAGCCCACAGCATTGAACCCCAACCCCCATCTTTTCTCATTTTGCCTTTCATATAAATAAAATAAATCTTTGCAAAAAGAAGTGAATGCAGGCAGATCTATGAAGAAAATCACCTGCACCCAGTTCGGTAGCCCCCTTAATTGGTTAGGGGTTGGTACCCTAATTTTTTTTTAAAGATTTATTTTATTTATTTGAAAGACAGAGTTGCAGAGAGAGGTAGAGACAGAGAGGTCTTCCATCTGCTGGTTCACTCCCCAGATGGCCGGAATGGCCGATGCTGAGCTGATCTGAAGCCAGGAGCCAGGAGCTTTTTCTGGTCTCCAATGCGGATGCAGGGGCCCAAGGACTTGGGCCACCTTCTACTGCTATCCCAGGCCATGGTGGAGAGCTGTATCAGAAGAGGAGCAGCCGGGTCTCGAACCGGCGCCTATATGGGATGCCGGCTTTTCAGGGCTTTAACCCACTACAATGCTGGCCCCATAGGTACCCTAATTGAAAACACAAATGGAAGAAAATTTGGGTGGGGGTTAGTGCACGTGATCATCTCTGGGAAAGTTTTATGATTTCTTCATGTGGAGTCCAGCATACACATGGTCATCATGACATGTTCATGGTGGGGGAGGGTTTGGGTGCATCATGGGAAAGGAGTGTGTTGAATTGGCATGAAAGGGGGTGGAGTTTTTTTTTTTTTTAAAAGCAGTGCTGGGCTGAAAAGTCCTCCATGTCTTTTTTCTCTCCCTCCCTCCCTCTCTCCCTCTCTCTCTTTCTCTCTCTCTCTTTTGTCCTTTCCTTTTTTTTTAAAGATATGTTTGTTTATTTAAAAGGCAGAGAGAGGGAGAGAGAGATTTTTCATCACCCAGATGGCTGCAGTAGCTGGAGACAGAAACCAGGAACTCCATCAGTCTCCTACATGGGTGACAGTGGGCTAAAGCATGTGGGCCATCTGTTGTTTTCCCAGGTGCATTAGCAGGGAACTGGATTAGAAGTGGAGCAGCTGGAACTCATTAAATTAGTAGTTAAATAAGTTAACTACTAGTTTAAAATAATTATTTTTGTGCAAAACAATTTTGAAATCCATGCAGTTTGCACAATATGCATATTTCATGAACTTTTTGAAAACCTCTTATAGTAATACCTCCTTGTTGTTTTATTATAGTCTTTTTAAAAAATCCCACCTTCTTCAGGATAAAGCCCAGACTCAAGGCAGGCCATGTAAAGTCCTTTGTGAGTTCAGCGTGGTCCCAAAGGCAGAGACATGTTATTTATTATTTGAGGAACACAACAGGTGCCCGGTGTGTTCTAGTGTGAGTGAGTGGATTGGTGGATGGCTTTCTGTGACGCAATGTTATGAAAAAATTATACTTGTTATTATCTTGTATGTTCTAGTTCGTGAAGCCTGGAACTGAGGATGCAAGAGACTACCCTGACATGGCAAAAGAAGCAGGTAATATAGCACACTTAGCTCTCGAACGGCCATAGTTTATCGTGTGGACTGGCCTAACTCCACGGCTAGAGTGACCTTGCAAGCCCAGAAGGAAGCTTGATCACAGGAGGAGAACCTGTTGGGGGAAGTGCTGGGTGGCTCCCTAGAAAAGAGAAAGGGGAGGGAGCGAGGGCATCCTTAGCCGTTACCTAGCCGGAGCAGACAGTGGCTTATGGTTTTATGTGCTACCCAGCTGTTTACAGTGATGGTAAAGGGAGCTGTAGGAAAGGTAGCTTTGTTATGAGAGAGAACTTGATTCTGGTGTGTGTTCTCCTCCAGAGTCAGAGCAAGTTTAGTGTCTTCTTTGAAAAGGGGTAATCCCATTTGGAGTGTATTAAATATGTATGTGATGGTTTTCCTGTGGCTCTACTGAGCCGACTTGGAATTCTTTCCCATCACTAGTCCACCCCATGACTGCAGGAGGTGATGCAGTTTGTTATTGTTTATCCTAGTGAGTGCTAGTGCTGTAAGCAAAGGACTTGGGTGAGCACTGGTGAGCTGCAGTTCAGGGAGAGAAGGATCCACAGGGGCGTGGGTCCTGGTTCTCAAAAGCATCTGGCGTTCTTCAGAGACACATACTTGACATGGTGCCATGACCTGTGGGTCTGAGTTCCACCAGAGGGAGCTCCTTCCATGGTTCTTTCTGGCTAGTACCTTTCCATGTTTGTGTCTGTCTCTTTAATTTTTTTTTTATTTTTTTTATTTTTTTTTATTTTTTGACAGGCAGAGTGGACAGTGAGAGAGAGAGACAGAGAGAAAGGTCTTCCTTTGCCGTTGGTTCACCCTCCAATGGCCGCCGCGGCCGGTGCGCTGCGGCCGGCGCACCGCGCTGATCCGATGGCAGGAGCCAGGAGCCAGGTGCTTTTCCTGGTCTCCCATGGGGTGCAGGGCCCAAGCACCTGGGCCATCCTCCACTGCACTCCCTGGCCACAGCAGAGGGCTGGCCTGGAAGAGGGGCAACCGGGACAGAATCCGGCGCCCCAACCGGGACTAGAACCCGGTGTGCCGGCGCCGCAAGGCGGAGGATTAGCCTAGTGAGCCGCGGCGCCGGCCTGTCTCTTTAATTTTTTAAAAAATATTTTATTTATTTGAAAGCCCAAGAGAGGGAGAGGCTGATCTTCCTGTCCGCACATTCACTTCCTCATGTGGCCACAATGGCCAGGATTGAGCTGAACTGAAGCCAGGAGCTAGGAGCCAGGAGCTTCATCCAGGTCTCAGATGAGTAGCAGAGGCCTAAGCACTTGGGCCATCCTCCACTGCCTTTCCCAGGCCTTCAGCAGGGAGTAGGATGGGAAGTGGAGCAGCTGGGACATGAACTGGCCCCTCTATTTAATTAAAAATATTTATTTGAAATGTACACAGAGAGAGAGTGTTTCCATCTCCTGTTCACTTGGCAAATGCCCAAAACAGCTGGGGCTGTGCCAGACTGAAGCCAGGAGCCAGGAGCTCCGTGTGGGTGGCAGGGACCCTGTGCAATAGCAGGAAGCTGGAAGTGAACCTAGGCCTTCTGTTACGGGATGCAGGCGTCCGAAGCAGCAGCTTAACCTCCTGCACAGCACCATCCTAGACAGGATCATTTCTTGTTCTTGGCTTTGTAAGAAGAGCACATTACTGCGTGTATCCCCCCCACCGCCATGACATTCTGTCTGATTGTGTCAAGTGTCAAAGAGAAGATATGGAGGAGTGGTGCAGTAGTTGAGAGGAGAAACAGTTGCTTCTAAGAGTAGAGATCTGAGCTGCTTTGATGAAGGATTTGTCATTCAAATTGAACATACTATAGTGAGGTAGATTTACTCCTAGACAACTAACTCTCAATTTTTAACTACCTGGAGCAGATACTGAAAGTACTTTTTAATGAAGCCCTTTTCTTTTTATAGGCCAGAAGGCTTTAGCTGATGCACAGATTCCTTACTCAGCGGTGGAGCAGGCTTGTATTGGCTATGTTTATGGTATGTAGTAAACTGTGTATTGTAAAAGTTGTCCATCTAAATCTAGCAGCCATTATATAAACCATGCAGAGATATTCATGAATTTATTTTGACTGTCACAAAAGTTTATTTAATAAAAAGCTTAATATGAAAGTGTCTGAGGCCGGCACCGCGGCTCACTAGGCTAATCCTCCGCCTAGCGGCGCCGGCACACCAGGTTCTAGTCCCGGTCGGGGTGCCGGATTCTGTCCCGGTTGCCCCTCTTCCAGGCCAGCTCTCTGCTGTGGCCAGGGAGTGCAGTGGAGGATGGCCCAAGTGCTTGGGCCATGTACCCCATGGGAGACCAGGATAAGTACCTGGCTCCTGCCATCGGATCAGCGCGGTGCGCCGGCCGCAGCGCGCCAGCTGCGGTGGCCATTGGAGGGTGAACCAATGGCAAAGGAAGACCTTTCTCTCTGTCTCTCTCTCTCACTGTCCACTCTGCCTGTCAAAAAAGAAAAAAAAAGTTATAAAGAACTTTCTTGCTTGTATTTTTTTAATGATGGCATTGTATTCTACTAAATAAATGTATCATAATTTATTTAATCCATTCTCTTTTAATGGATATGTAGTCTTTATAGCATCTAAAATATTTTATTGCCAGTAATAATTAAATGTATTCATGATTTGATATACATTGTGTAATGATTACCACAATCAAATAAATTAGTGCATCTGTCAGTACCCATGTTGTACGTTAGACTCCCAGAACTTGCTTACCTTTTTTTTTTTTTTTTTAATCTATTTATTTATTTCAAAGGCAGCATTACAGAGAGGCAGAGACAGAGGCGGGGGCGGGGGGAGGGGCTTCCATCTGCTGGTTCACTCTCCGAATGGCTGCAACAGCCAGAGCTGGGTTGATCTGAATCTGGAATCTGGAGCTTCTTCTGGGTCTCCCATGTGGGTGCAGGGGCCCAAGCACTTAGGCCATTTTCCTCTGCTTTCCCAGGCACATTAACTGGGAGCTGGATTGGAAATGGAGCAGCTAGGACCTGAACTGGTGCCCATAAAGGATGCTGGCGCTGTAGGTAGCAGCCTTATCCACTGTGCCACAGCACCAGCCCCCTGTTTTTGGATATTTTAAGTTATTTCTAATTTCTGCTTATTGTAAAAATACTACTTTATGGTAGTATCCTGGTATTATTGTGATGAATCTTTGTGCATGTCCATAATTTATTTCCTTGAGGTCTCAAGATAGAAAGTGAATTATAGAATGGAAAGCTACTGGGTCACAGCAGAGTGTGTGTATTGAAAGAAAATCTGGTGCCGCCTTGTTTGTGCTGGGGTGTCGCTCCCCCTCTTCGTGGAGGAACGACACAGGACCCTGCACTGTTCTTTCGTCTGCTCGGCCCTCCCCGGGTTTGCTGCTGGTTCTTCCCGGGTTGGCTACTATCCCTTCCACCTCCGTGGAAGGGCAGTTCCCCCTGGCCACATTCCCCACTTCCGCAGGGGAGCGGCACACCGCCGGCCGGTTCTCTCGGGGGCTGCACAGGTGTTCCTTCAGCTAGATGTTCCTCATAGATGTTCCCGGTGCATGCCGTCTCTCTCCTCCTTTATAGTCCTCCTCCGCCAATCCTAACTCGGCTGCCCACACGCCGAGTACGCTGCTCTCCAATCAGGAGCAAGTCCTACAGTTTATTAGTTGAACTGGAGGCAGCTGTGCGGAAGCTGTTTACTTCTCTCCCAGCGCCATATTGTGGGAGAGCAGATGCACAGAATAAGTCTTAATTCCAGTAACTCAGTCTAGTCCGGTTGCTCCCCACACTGGGGACTCTGCCTTCAGATGTCCCCATCATCATGCTTTGGCATGTCTGCCTTGGAGGTTGCATTGCTTGGGACAAGATGTCACATGTGTACTCTACATGGATCACATTTTTCTGGGGTGTCTTAGCAAACAGAATTAAAATTTTTTTATTTTTTAATTATTATTTTTTTTGACAGGCAGAGTGGACAGTGAGAGAGAGAGACAGAGAGAAAGGTCTTCCTTTTTCCATTCGTTCACCCCCCAATGGCTGCTGTGGCTGGTGCGGCGCTCTGTGGCCACTGATCTGAAGCCAGGAGCCAGGTGCTTTTCCTGGTCTCCCATGCGGGTGCAAGGCCCAAGGACTTGGGCCATCCTCCACTGCACTCCTGGACCACAGCAGAGAGGTGGACTGGAAGAGGAGCAACAGGGACAGAATCGGGCGCCCCGACCTGGACTAGAACCTGGGGTGCCAATGCCACAGGTGGAGGATTAGCCTATTGAGCCGTGGTGCCGGCCAAAAAAAATTTTTTTTTAAAAACTATTTATTTGAGAGACAGAAAGACACACACACTCACACACACACACACACAAATTTTCCATCCTCTGGTTCACTCCCTAGATGGCTGCAATAGATGGGGCTGTGCTTGGACCGTCTTCTGATGCTTTTCCCAGGCCATTAGCATGGAGCTGGATCAGAAGTGGAGCATCTGGGACACAATCCAGCACCCATATGGGATGTTGGTGTCTCAGGGAATGGCTTTACCTGCTACTCTACAGTGCCTGCCCATCATTGTTAATGAAATATTGCTTCCTCTATCATGTAGCCCTTTCCAGATTGAATTGTTTGCTAACATCTGATCATTTCTATAATTTCTTGCCTCTGTATTATGTAGAAAAGTGCGCATATTTAGTTTGAGAATTCTATGTGCTTGTAGAATCATGATGCCTAGTGCTAAAACTCAGTAAGATGTCAATAGTGGGTTTACTGTTCTGCCTACACTGGATGCCAGGCAAAAGCATAATATTGGAAAAAATATAATGTAGTATTCTGCATCATAGCTCCATAATTCCCCTGTTGCGGATATTACAGTTTTTATTTGTTTTCCGATGCAGGTGATTCTACTTGTGGACAGAGAGCTGTCTATCACAGTTTAGGATTGACTGGAATTCCTATAATTAATGTCAACAATAACTGTTCAACTGGTTCTACTGCGTTGTTTATGGGCCGGCAGCTGATTCAGGGTGGTGAGTGGTTATTTGTCTAGTGTACTTGAGTAGATGTGGGAGTATTGCTCCTTACAAATTTTTTCTTTAGACGTCCATTAGAGGGATTGCTTTATAATGTATTTCTTGGAGAAAAAAAAAGATTGAGATATAACTTGCATTATAAAATTTAAAATTATACCATTCAGTGTTTTTCTAATATATTCACAGTTGTGCGGCTGTTACCACTGTATAATTTTAAACATTTTATCACCCCAGAGAGAAACTCTGGAACTAGCTGTTCCCCATGTACTTTCTGTCTCTGTGGATTCACCTGTTCTGAACATTTATGCAAATGGAATAATATAATTTATTACTGGTGCTTTATACAGGTTGAGTATCCCTAATCAAAAATCCAGAGTAATCGAAAATCTGAAATACTCCAAAATCTGAAACTTTTTGAATGAATTTTTGCATTGGGCATGCTTAACTGGCAAAATCTGTGCAGAAATTTCCTGCAATCTACATAGTGTCTTGTGGCTGCTTTTACTTAGCATAATGTTTTCACAGTTTATGTTGCAGCACACATCAGTACTTCATTCTTTTTTTGTGGCCAAATAATATTCTGTTGTATTCATATACCACATTTTATCTGTTGCTCAATTGATGACATTGTTATTTCTGCTATCTAGTTATCATGAATAAAACACTATAAATATATACTCCCCAAATGCCTGCTATAGCTGGGGCTGGGCCAGCCAAAGCCAGGGGGCCTAGAATTCAGTCAGGGTGTACCACATGGGTGGCAGGGACCCAGGTACTTAAGTATCACCTGCTGCCCACGAGGGTATCCATTAGCAGAAAACTGTGATTGCAGGCCGAGCTGAGACTCGGACCCAGCACTCTAATATGGGATATGGGTGTCCCACATGGCACCTTTTTTTTTTTTTAAAGATTTATTTTTTTTTAAGATTTATTTGAATGTTAGAGTACACAGAGAGAGAAGGAGAGGCAGAGAGAGAGAAGGAGAGAGGGAGGGAGGGAGGGGCCTTCCACTCCCCAATTGGCCACAACAGCTAGAGCTGGGCCAATCTGAAGCCAGGAGCCAGGAGCTTCTTCTGGGTCTCCCACACGGAGACTGCTTTCCTAGGCCATAGCAGAAAGCTGGCAATCACAGGTTTTATTAGAACATTGAGCTCTAAGGGAGGAATTAAACACCATCTTGATTTTTTATTTTATACAGATGGATATAAGAATTTTCTCTTAATTTTTTATTTTGTAGGATTATAATATGTGTGTTGACATACTTGAGGTATATAATAGTATTTTGTTGAGTGAAAATCTGAATTTTCAAAATAATTGCATTTTTCTTTAAGGTATGGCAGAGTGTGTCTTGGCCCTTGGGTTTGAGAAGATGGAGAGGGGATCCCTTGGAGCGAAAGTGAGTCTAATTTGCTGTTACTTTTGTTGTTATGATGCTTTGGAAAGACTTGACCCATCTGTCCGTGGTGAATGGGGCCTGCTAATAAGCAACAGAAAGCATGGTTTAGCAGAGGTATTGGATGAGCTGATGTAATCCAGAAGTGAAAGAGGACACTGTGTATGTACACATAGATGTTGCTATTTTAGCTCCATAAAGAATCTTTTTTTTGACAGGCAGAATGGACAGTGAGAGAGAGAGACAGAGAGAAAGGTCTTCCTTTTGCCATTGGTTCACCCTCCAATGGCCGCCGCCGCCGGTGCGCTGCGGCCGGCGCACCGGCTGATCCGAAGGCAGGAGCCAGGTGCTTCTCCTGGTCTCCCATGGGGTGCAGGACCCAAGAAGCACTTGGGCCATCCTCCACTGCACTCCCGGGCCACAGCAGAGAGCTGGCCTGGAAGAGGGGCAACTGGGACAGAATCCGGCACCCTGACCGAGACTAGAACCCGGTGTGCCGGCGCAACTAGGCAGAGGATTAGCTTATTGAGCCACGGCGCCGGCCTATAAAGAATCTTAGAGACAATTTAATTCAAATTTTTGGGCCGGCGCCGCGGCTCACTAGGCTAATCCTCCGCCTAGCGGCGCCGGCACACCGGGTTCTAGTCCCGGTTGGGGCGCCGGATTCTGTCCCGGTTGCCCCTCTTCCAGGCCAGCTCTCTGCTGTGGCCCGGGAGTGCAGTGGAGGATGGCCCAAGTGCTTGGGCCCTGCACCCCATGGGAGACCAGGAAAAAGCACCTGGCTCCTGGCTCCTGCCATCGGATCAGCGCGGTGCGCCGGCCGCAGCGCGCCGGCCGCGGCGGCCATTGGAGGGTGAACCAACGGCAAAGGAAGACCTTTCTCTCTGTCTCTCTCTCTCACTGTCCACTCTGCCTGTCAAAAAAAAAAAAATAAAAATAAAAAAAAAAAATTTTTTTTATTGTACTGATTGTTGAAACCAGCGTTCAAAGAAGTCAGATGAGTGAATTTGAGGTTCATTTATCTATTTAATTTGAAGAGAGTTAAAGTGTGAGACTTCTGATTCTGGATAATGGAATGTCCAAGTTCTTAGAGCCAATTCTCCCACTGATAACAACAAAAATATTTGGATAGAATATGAAAATAAGAAATTCTGAAGCCCTCAAGGAACTAGAGAGGGAGGGAGGAAGAGGGAGACAGTGGGGAGAGAGAGAGAGAAGTGTAATTGCTAGCTGGAGGATTAACATAAGCACTGAAGCTTGTTTTGCCCTGGAAGCCCTTGCTGATCAGGGAGCTGTGAGTTGCAATGTCGGTGGTTCCCTGGAGTGAAGGGAAAATGGTCAAAGCTCAGGCCCTCCAAGGGTCAGCAGTTTAGTGCCCACTGTCCCCATTAATCTGGGACTGCATGGGGCTAAACCCCCTGCGTAGGAATGAACCACAAGTAAAATTACCCAGTGCCATGAAATTACAGGGAGAATTGCTGTGGCACTGAACAGAACGGGAGAAGGCAGAAGGAAAAAAAATCCCAGAAACATTTCTACTGAGATTCAGTAAGTCACAGGCAGGTCCTCAGGTAGAAGTAGGAGTGCTGCCAACGTTCTCATTAGCTGGGTGGTCCAGGAAGCCTCTGCCTCTAGTGAAGTCTAAATCAGTTCCAGAGTGGCCTTGACCCAGGGCAGTTTTCCTGTGGAGGAAAGTACCTTCCTTCTGGTCCTGGAGGACCCTTCAAGTATAATTTCAGGACGTGGGGCCAGCGTTGTGGCTTAGCGGGTAAAGCCGCCACCTGTGAATCTGGCATCCCATATGGATGCTTGTTCTTGTTTCCCTCCCTCCCTATAGCTCTGATTTTCAAACAAATAAATACATCTTTAAAAAAAAGTTTTCAGGGGCCGGTGCTGTGGCTCACTTGGTTAATCCTCCGCCTGCGGCGCCGACATCCCATATAGGCACCAGGTTCTAGTCCCAGTTGCTCCTCTTCTGGTCCAGCTCTCTGCTGTGGCCCGGGAGGGCAGTGGAGGATGGCCTGGGTGCTTGGGCCCCTGCACCTGTGTGGATGACCAGGAAGAAGCACCTGGCTCCTGGCTTTGGATTGACGCAGCACCGGCCGTGGCGGCCATTTAGGGAGTGAACCAACGGAGGGAGGACCTTTCTTTCTGTCTCTCTCTCATTGTCTATAACTCTACCTGTGATGGGAGAAAAATAATAAGAAAAAAAAAAAAAGTTCAGGTGCAAGCAAAGATAACCAAGCTTTAAAGAAACAAGGCACCATAAGTGAGAAGAAAGAGGAGACAGTAAAAGTGATCTCTGTAGACCACATCACCTGGATTATTGAACACAGATTAAGTCATGCTGACTGTGATTGAAGAAATAACAGCCTGGAAATCTCTTTATGGTACTGGAAAATGCATAAAGGGATATTACAGGCATGAAAAAAAATAAAAACCCAAGTAGAATTTATAGAAAAGAAAAATGTATAAAATTCAAAGGGTAGGTTTAGAAATATTTTTTTCAAATCAATTTATTTGAGAGGCAGAGAGACGGAGACATACACATAGGGAAAAATCTAAATTTCTCTTATTTTTCTTTCCCTTTTTCTTTTTTTCACTATTCATTTCTTAACTTAATTTGTAACTGAATTTTTTGGGTAAGATTTTGTATTCCTTCTACCCACATGAGAGACCTGAATGAAGCTTCTGGCTTTGACCTGGGCTGTTGTAGCCATCTGGGAGTGAACCAGCGGATGGAAGATTTTCTCTATCTCTGTCTCTGTCTCTATCTCTCTAACTCTGCCTTTCAAATAAAAAATAATAATAAAATTTAAAAACACAGTTGTGAACAGTCTGTGAGTATAACAAAGACGACAAGTTGCTGTTTCTGTTTTTTTTTTTTTTTTTTTTTTTCCTGTTTCTGTTTTGACATGTAGGTGGGTCTCTATAGTAGAGGCTCTGACTTTCCAGTCTTACATTGTTGTTCTCTGTATTTGTTCTATGTATTTCCCTTCAGATTACATAGCATAACCTTTTCCTTTTTATGTATATGCTGCAAACAATGGTAATAACTTCTTTTTTTTAAAAAAATTATTTATCTGAATGGCAGAGTTAGAGAGAGAGAGGCAGAGAGAGATATCTTCCATCTGTTGGTTTCACTTTTCAAATGGCTTCAGTGGCCAGGCTGGGCCAATCTGAAGCCAGGAGCCAGGAGCTTATTCTGGGTCTCCTACATGGGTGCAGGGGCCCAAGCACTTGGACCATCTACCATTGCTTTCCCAGGTGCATTAGCAGGGAGTTGAATCAGAAGTGGAGCAGCTGGGACTCGAACTGGCATCCATATGGGATGCCAATACTGCAGATGGAGGCTTTACCTGGTATGCCACAGCTCAAGCGCCAATAATTTCTTCTTACATAAGGGAGGATTATTTCACTGAACTAAAAATGATACTTGACATTGGGTATACTATTCACAGCACATACACATGGCAGGTAGTAACTAGCACAGTAGCTACTGTGCTCTTTACCATGTGCTTAGGAGGCACAGTGGGTTAAGCTGCTTCTTGGGATGCCTGCATCCCATATTGGAGTGCCAGTTTGATTCCTGGCTATTCTACTTCCAATCCAGCTTTCTGCTATTGAATCCTTGGAGGCAACATATGATGACTTTAGTGTTTGGACTCTTGCCACCCACATAGGGGACTTGGATGGAGTTCTGATCTCCTGGCTTTAGCTTGGTCATTTGGGGAGTGGACCAGTGGATGGGAGATCAGTTAGCCCCCCTGACCCCCTGCCTTTCGAGTAGATGAAAAAATCATTTTTAAAAAGATGGTTAATACAACTGAGGAAATGAGTTTTTAATTTTACTTCATTTTAAAAAAAAGACATATTTATTTGAAAGGCATAGTTACAGAGAACAGAGGCAGAGAGAGAGAGAGAGAGAGAGCGAGATCAGTCTTCCATCCACTGGTTCACTCCCCAAATGGCCACAACAGTCGCAGCAGGGCCAATCCAAAGCCAGGAGACAGGGGCATCTTCCAGATCTCCCATGTGGGTGCAGGGACTCAAGGACTTGTACCATCCTCCACTGCTTTCCCAGGCACATCAGCAGAGAGCTGGATCAGAAGTAGAGCAGCTGGGACTTGAACCAGCATCCATATGGGATGCCTGCACTGCAGGCAGTGGCTTTATCTGCTATGCCACAGCGTTAGCCCCAATTTTACTTAATTTTAATTAATGTTAAGCTACCAGTTTTTGGAAAACTTTTAAGTACATTTGGAATAGCTTGGGCATGTGAATATACTTTTACAACTGAAGATTTCGTGAAAACTAAGCATAGATCAAATATTTCTGATGAAAATACAGCATTCAAGTTAGGGTGTGTCATAACCTTAAAATACTAGATTTTGAGGGCTTGATGTGAAAAAAGAATGTAAAATGTCTCCTTTTAAAAATGTAAAATGTGGCCGGCGCCGCGGCTCACTAGGCTAATCCTCCGCCTAGCGGCGCCGGCACACCGGGTTCTAGTCCCGGTTGGGGCACCGGATTCTGTCCCGGTTGCCCCTCTTCCAGGCCAGCCCTCTGCTGTGGCCTGGGAGTGCAGTGGAGGATGGCCCAGGTGCTTGGGCCCTGCACCCCATGGGAGACCAGGAAAAGCACCTGGCTCCTGGCTCCTGCCATCGGATCAGCGCGGTGCGCCGGCCGCAGCGCGCCGGCCGCGGCGGCCATTGGAGGGTGAACCAACGGCAAAGGAAGACCTTTCTCTCTGTCTCTCTCTCTCACTGTCCACTCTGCCTGTCAAAAAAAAAAAAAAAAAAAAAAAAAAAAAGTCTTAAAAATAAAAAAATAAAAATGTAAAATGTCTCTTTTTAAAAATATCACATGTTGAAATAATATTTTGGATATAATGGGTTAATAAAATATATTCAAGTTAATGCCATCTGTTCTTTTTTCTTTAGTTTGTCTGCTTCAAGATCTGTTATTCACCTGTGTGGCTTGCCAGTTATATTTTTCTTTAGGGTCCTTTGGTAGCCCAGAAAGGGACTTAAGAGGCTGTTGGTCCTGTGAAGTGATGGTTCTGGATGTTGGCACTTCCTGCCAGTTGATGTATTTTGGTTAATTTTATGCTTTCTTCAGAATGGAATGTTGCTGCTCAGAATGGTCCCTGACCACTAAGTTTTTTGGTCCATCTTAACCTGTGGTTCAGTTGGTGGTCAAATCAGCAAGCAAGAGGGTTTTAAGTCAGCTTTTGGATTTCAGGAATGAAAGTCTGTGGTTGGCTGTCATCGTAAGCCTGGTCCTATCACAAATGAGCACAGGAGAAAATGAGAAGTTAGGTTTATACCGGAAGAGATTGTATAGAACAGTACATTTTTTGCCTGAGAAATCGCATTCTCTCTTTAGAGAACAAGGGTGTTCTGTTTTTAACTTCCTAGTGTGCTGTGGATGAATGCCATGTCCTCACAAATTCATGTGTTAAAAACTTACTTCCGAGTGGGATGGTGTTTTGAGACTGGGACTTTGAGGGGAAATCAGGACATGGGGATGGGTCCCTCGTTTTGGGGCTAGTTCCCGTGGAAGAAGAGCACTCAAGTCTTTGCTCTGTTCTCTGTCATGTGAGGCCACAATGAATGACTGCATGCACACTTGGAAGCAGGCCTTACCCAGAAATCAGGTGTGCCAGCATCTTGCTCTTGGATTTCCCAGTCGCCAGAATTGTGAGAAATACTCATAATTATTTGTTGTTTAAGCTACCCAGCCCAGTTTGTTCTGTCATAGCAGCCCAACCTGCCTATGGCAAATGGCAAAACATTCTGTAGAGAATGACAGATGCTGGGCTTTTATCTGTATACGTATACATAAGTATTTGAAAAGGTTTGCAGATTTTTAAATAAGGTTGACTGATTTATTTGAAAGGCAGAGTTACAGAGAGAGAGGAGAGACAGAGAAAGATCTCCCATCTGTTGGTTCACTTCTCAAATGGCCACAACATCTGGGGCTGGGCCAGGCCAGAGCCAGGAGCCAGGAGCTAGGAGCTAGGAGCTAGGAGCTTCATCTAGGTCTCCTACATCGGTGCAGGGGCCCAAAGACTTGGGCTGTCCTCTGCTACTCTCTCAAGTGCATTAGCAAGGAGCTGGATCGGAAGTGGAGCAGCCGAGTCTTGAACCAGTGCTTATGTGGGATGCTGGTGTTGCAGGTGGTGGTTTAACCCATACCTCCACAATGCCAACCTCTTATTCTTTTTTAAAATATTTATTTATTTGAAAGAGTTACAGAGAAAGAAGGAGACAGAGAGAGAGAGAACACACTCTTTTCTTCCATCTGCTGATTCACTCCCCAAATGGTTGAAACAGCTGGGGCCAGGCCCAGCTGAAGCCAGCAGCTTCTTCTGGGTCTCCCATGTGGGTGCAGGGGCCCAGGGACTTGGGCCATCTTTTGCTGCCTTCCCAGGCACATTAGCAAGGAGCTGGATTGGAGATGGAGCAGCTGGGACTCAAACCAGCTCCCCTGTGAGATGCTGGTGCTGCAGGCAGTGGCTGTGCCATAGCACCAGCCCCATTAGCTACTTATTAAGTTTAGTATTTTTCTCCTCTTTCCTAGTTTCCAGATCGAACCAATCCCATGGATAAACATCTTGATGTCCTGATAAACAAATATGGATTGTCTGCCCACCCAGTTGCTCCTCAGATGTTTGGGTCTGCTGGAAAAGAGCACATGGAAAAATATGGTACGTTCAAAAGAACTCCAAACTTGTGACTGGTTATCTACATGCATGAGAAGCAACAGATATTTACTAAGAAACAGGATATATGAGACATAAAATGGCTTTTAAGTTAAATAGAAGAAATAGTTTGTAGAACTTCACTTGAGGGGAAATATTTATATATAGGACACCATAGAGGAAGTACCTAAAATACTTCATAGCGGGAAATGGAAATAGGAATGTTAACAGTTTTGTCACCATTAATTGTGGCCTATAAATGGAGGCTCATTGTTTCTCAATGTGGTAATGAGATTGAAAGCTTGAATCCGTCAAGAGTCCATATTTTTTTTTTTAAGATTTATTTATTAATTTGAAAGAGTTACACAGAGAGAGGAGAGGCAGAAAGAGCGAGAGAGAGGGAGAGGTCTTCCATCCACTGGTTCACTCCCCAGATGGCCGCAATGGCTGAAGCTGTGCCGATCCAAAGCCAGGAGCCAGGAGCTTCTTCCAGGTCTCCCATGCGGTTGCCGGGGCCCAAGGACTTGGGCCATCTTCTACTGCTTTCCCAGGCCATAGCAGAGAGTTGGATGGGAATTGGAGCAGCTGGGACTTGAACCGCTGCTCAAATGGGATGCTGGCACTTCAGGCCAAGGTGTTAACCCACTGTGCCACAGCGCCAGCCCTGAGTCCATCTTTCTTTTAATGATATATTTATTTGAAAGGCAGAGTTACAGAGAGAGAAGGAGAGACAGAGAAAGGTCTTCCATGTGCTTCACTCCCCAAATGAGCTTTACGACCAGGTGAGCCAGGCCAAAGCCAGAAGCTAGGAGTGTCTTCTGGGTCTCCCACTTGGGCCATCTTCCACGGCTTTCCCAGGCACATTAGCAGGGAGCTAGATTGGAAGTAGGGCAGCCAGGACTTGAATTGGTGCCCATATGGGATGCCAGTGCTGCCGGCTGTGGCTTTAACCCACTGTGCCACAGTGCCAGCCCTCCATCATCATCTTTCATTCCATGGTGTCTCATGTCTGATTTTTGTTTTGTCCATCTCAGTTCTTTGACTGATGGCCAGCAATGGACCTATCCTATTAGCTAGTTATATAAAGCCTGGGATAGTGCAAGTAGGATTTTTTTTTTCCTGTTTTGTGATTCTGAACTAGTGCCTCATTTACCATGAAATAAGAAAGATACATCAGAAAGTTCAGCATTCCTATTCTTTGTAGGGAAGTACCCCAGGTTTGACAGCCAGGATGTAATCAGGAAGGAAAGAATTCTTTACGGAGCAATGGTGGGGTCATATGGAAGAGCACTGCCTGTTTTTAATCTTGGGAATTTCCTTTTTTTGTCTCTGCATATGAGAATAATTCATAGCAGAGACATGGATAAAGTGCAAGAAGGGGAGCAGGATTTATTTAAAGAGAGAGAGTGCATTTCAGAGGTGAATGCAGGCAGCCCCATGTGCCGTGAGGAGAACCTCCCACCCCAGTTCAGCAGCCCCCTGTATTGAATAGGAGTTGGTGCCTAATTGAACATATAAATGGGTTGGGATCTGGGCAAGGTTCACTGTGCATTATGATCCCTGGTAGATTCCAAGTGGACTTCTAGTTTGTTTTATTAGAAACTTCTTGCATTGCATTGTGATGTGTGCATGTTGTTTGTAGATGTGAGAGGATTGTTGTTCTAGAGTGGCTTCTTCTGTGTAGTAAACTATTTCTGTAGTTTAAAAAATTGTATATATAAGTATTTATTTGAGATGTAGAGTTACAGACAGAGGGAGAGACAGAGAAAAAAGTCTTCCATCTGCTGGTTCACTCCCCAAACAGCCGCAACAGGCAGAGCTGAGCCGATCCAAAGCCAGGAGCCAGGATCTTCTTCCGGGTCTCTCATGTGGGTGCAGGGGCTCTTGGGCTTGGGCCATCTTCCACTATAGTGTTGTTTTTTTTTTTTAAGATTTATTTTATTTATTTGTAAGGTAGAGTGACAGAGAGGGGAAAGACAGATTTTCCATCTGCTAGTTCATTCTGCAAATGGTTGCAACAGCAGGGCCTAGGAGCCAAGAGCCAAGAACTCCATCCACATCTCTCATGTGTCTCCTAATGACTTGGGCCACCTGCTGCAGCCTTCCCAGGCATGTAAGCAAGGAGCTGGATCAGAAGTGAGGCAGCTGAGACTCTAACTGGTGCTCTGATATGGGATGCTGGTGTTACAAGTGGTGGCTTAATCTGCTGCATAATACCAGCCCCTGTAGTGTTGTGTGTGTGTGTGTGTGTGTGTGTGTGTGTTAAAGGTTTATTTATTTATTTGAAAGGCACAATTAGAGAGAGGAAGGGAGAGACAGAGAGATTCCATCTGCTAGTTCACTCCCCAAATTACTTCAACTGACTTGGCTAGGCCAGACCAATGCCATGAATTGGGAACTCCATTCATGTCTCCCATGTTGGTGCAGAGGCCAAGGACTTGGGTCATCTTCCACTGCTTTCCCAGGCTCATTAGCGGGGAGCTTGATCAGAAGTGGAGCAGTTGGGACATGAGCTGGTGCCTTTATGGGATTAAAAGGCAGAGATAGAAAGTTTGATACATATACACAGTCACACACATACAGATATCTCTCATCTTCTGGCTTACTCTTTATAAATAAATCTTATTTATTTATTTATTTGAAAGATTTACAGAGAAGCAGAGGCAGAGAGAGGGAGGTCTTCCATCTGCTGGTTTACTTCCCAAATGGCCACAATGGCTGGAGCTGTGCTGATCTGATGCCAGGAGCTAGGAGCTTCTTCCAGGTCTCCCATATGGGTGCAGGGGCCCAAACACTTGGACCATCTCTGCTGCTTATTAGCACATTAGCAGGCACATTAGCAAGGAACCAGATTGGAAATGGAGCAGCTGGGACTTGAATGGGTACCTATATGGAATGCTGGCACTGGAGCTGGTGGCTTTACCTGCTATGCTACAGTGCTGGCCCCCTGGGTCACTCTTCTCTTTTATTCTTTGACAGGCAGAGCGGACAGTGAGAGAGAGAGACAGAGAGAAAGGTCTTCCTTTGCCGTTGGTTCACTCTCCAATGGCCGCCGCGGCCGGCGGGCTGCGGCCGGCGCACCACACTGATCCGATGGCAGGAGCCAGGAGCCAGGTGCTTTTCCTGGTCTCCCATTGGGTGCAGGGCCCAAGCACTTGGGCCATCCCCCACTGCACTCCCTGGCCACAGCAGAGAGCTGGCCTGGAAGAGGGGCAACTGGGACAGAATCCGGCGCCCCGACTGGGACTAGAACCTGGTGTGCCGGCGCCGCTAGGCGGAGGATTAGCCTAGTGAGCCGCGGCGCCGGCCCCCCTGGTTCACTCTTAAATGCCCTCAGTAGCCAGGACTGGGCTAAAGCCAGGTCCTAGGACCTCCATCCATAGTTCCCGTGTGAGTGGCATGAGCCATCATCTGCTCTCACCCAGGATGTGTATTAATGGAAAGCTGGATCAGAAATGGAAGAACTGGGACCGGGATGAGGCAGGTGCAGGTGTCCCCAAGTGGTGTCTCCAGTGCACACCAAACTCCAGCCCCAGTGTATGCCTTTAAAAGATTGCCACCTGGAATCTCCTGTACTCTTCAGACCCTGCCCTGCGGTCATGTTTGATCTGCAGGAATGTTTTCTCAGCATTGTCATACCTGAGGAGGGAGCCTTTTTCTTCCTGGTGGTAATTTTGGAGCAGTTATAGGCCTGGTAGTAGCACCCCTCTTCTCTCTGCAGTTTTTCTTCATGCTGTCCTTGTTTCTGTAAAGATTCACAGCAAGAGCATGAGCAATTAATAGTTGGCTTGGACCCGGTATTTTATTTTTTGAAAACTTACAGATACTGTTAAGTTTTGATTTTCTGTTTTCTAGTTGTGCTGAGAGTGTGGTTTTATGCTGTTTTATTTTTTCTTGTTATTTTGTTTTATTTTGGAGGATATGGAGAGACATAGATTTAGGTTGCTTCCATTGTTCTCAGCTACCTGGAAATCCTGTTGCCGATATGATTAAAGCTTCTATATTTTCTCTCCTCTATATTTTACATTACTCAGAATACTTAGTTTTCTCGTGCAAAATTCACAATATAAATCTATTTTATTTTGCTTTATTTCTTACACACACACACACACACACACACACACACAGATAGGCAGACAGAAAGAGCTCCCATCTGTGGTTCACACCCCGCATGCCTGCAATGGCAGGGAGTAGGCCTTAGCTAAACACCAGGAACTGGGAAATCAGTCGAGGTCTTATATGTGGTGGCAGGAACCCAGCTGCTGGAGCCAGCACCTGTTAACCTCCCGCACCCAGTGCCTGGAGTCAGGGGAAGAGCTAGCTCTGGGTATCAAACCCAGGTACTCTGAGATGAGACACATATATGCAGCCTATGCTTACTTTAGTTGAACTGTTACTCTTCATCTAACAGATTTTTGAAAAAAGATTTAAATATTTGAAAAACAGAGTGACAGAGGCAGATGGAGAGACACAGAGAGAAAGTGATCTTCCATTTGCTGCTTTACTCCCCAGATGGCTGCCAACAGCCAGATCTGGGCTGGGCCAAAGCCAGGAGCCAGGAAACTCCATTCTGGTCTCCCACAAGTGGCAGGAACCCAAGTACTTGGGTCATCTTCTCTTGCCTTCGTAGATACATTATCAAGGAGCTGGATCTGGAGTGGAGCAGCTGGAATGCTAACCAGTGCTCTGGTATGGGATGCTAGCATTGTAAGCTGTGGCTTAACCTGCTGTACCACAATGCTGGCCATCCAACACATTTCTAAATGCGTTACAGAATTTTTCATATGAAATTGTTGTTTGTGAATTGCCATAGAAACAAATATGTAAGAAAGTTTGTAGTAGCTTAAGTAATTTGAAAAATCAGATTTTATGGCTTCATAATTGATTCAGGGAGATTAAAATCCTTTTATACTAAGCATATCTTTTGAACAGCCAAAAAATTTTAATTGACAGTTTAGAATCAGTAGTCAGCCAGGGCTTCATCAGTGCTCATGATTAAGAAACATGTGACAGGGGCCAACGCTGCAGCTCAATAGGCTAATCCTCTGCCTGCGGCGCTGGCACACCGGGTTCTAGTCCCGGTCGGGGTGCCGGATTCTGTCCCTGTTGCTCCTCTTCCAGTCCAGCTTTCTGCTGTGGCCCAGGAGTGCAGTGGAGGATGGCCCAAGTGCTTGGGCCCTGACCCGCATGGGAGACCAGGAGAAGCACCTGGCTCCTGGCTTCGGATCAGTGTGGTGCGCTGCCCGCAGCGGCCATTGGGGGGTAAACGAATGGAAAAAGGAAGACCTTTTTCTCTGTCTCTCTCTCTCTCACTGTCCGCTCTGCCTGTCCATACAAAAAAAAATACAAACACAGAGAGAGAGAGAGAGAAAAAGAGAAAAAAGAAACATGTGACAGGGCCGGTGCTGTGGCTTAACCAGTTAAAGCCACCACCTGCAGTGCCAGCATCCCGTATGGGTACCAGTTCAAGTCCTGGCTGCTCCACTTCTGATCCAGCTCCCTGCTATGGCATGGGAAAGCAGTAGAAGAGAACCCAAGTCCTTGGGCACCTGCACTCCACCCGTGTTGGAGACCCGGAGGAGGCTCCTGGCACCTGGCTTTGGATCAGCACAGCTCCAGCCGTTGCAGCCATCTGGGGAGTGAATTAGTGGATGGAAGACCTCTCTTTCTGTCTCTGTAACTCTGCCTTTCAAATAAATAAATAAATCTTTTTTTAAAAAAAGTAACAAATGACTGGCAGAATATTTTAGATTAATTGGATCCTGCTTAATACTAATCTTCTAGTAAAGACAATAAAGCATTTGTACTATAACTGAGGCTGCCAATCCCGGTGTTGGGGTGATTCTGACTGTTAGAGTGTTGCTTTTTGTGTTGAACTCCAATGTCTTCTCATAAAGTTTACAGCCATGATCCTCTTTCTGCCTTCTGACACAGAACCAGCCTCTTTGACCTTATGGCCTTCAGATGTTGAAGCCAGCCTGACCCTGTGCTTAGTCTCTTTTTTTCTGTAGTTTTCTTTGGACTTAAGACTCATCGCTTGATTATTGCTATATCATGAGCACTTGTAAAACTTTTCTTGTACTCACACTAAGTTGTTAAATCTTATTCAGCTTGTATTCCACAGACTCTTAAAGTCGTTTTCATAGTTGTGCTCCTTATTCCAGGTTGGCTTGGAGGTTCAAAAACAGAACGAGGCATTTCATTTATATTCTGATCCAACTCCTTGATAAACTGTGTTGAAATCTGTTTAGATCCTACATTATACTAATCCCTCTAGCTTCAGGTTTTGTGTGAGTGCTTTTAATTTTGTAATCCAGTTTTGGTAGCAGTATTAACCAGGGTGCGGCTGAAGCTAGGGGTTAGTGCTAGAGACTTTTCTCTAGGGCGATGCATTAATCAATACCTGTTGTTTCCCAATAAGTGGGACAGTCTGCTCACAGGGTGTTCTTCAACATGAGTCAGATAAGTGGGCAGCTAACTTTAATCTCCTTTTGAGCAGTCACAACGCACAAGCAAGTGAAGACTGTAAATGTGTTACAATAAAGAACTCTCAACTTATTTGACAGGAGAACCCTTATATTTTTAGTAATACAAACATAAAAATGAAAAAACAAAACTGATGCTACAGTATTTTCTTAGTGTGTCAAAAAATTTCCTGAAAAATCGAGTTAATTGTCTTGCTTATGTCCAGGTAGGGAGTATCCTTTGATCTGACTGTCCATGCAGTCACTAAACGTAGCAGTTTGCTTTGTTCTTACTGAACTCATATTGACCTTCTCCTAACACTGTGATCACCGGGGTGAAATCTACCTTGTCTTTGATTGGAAGCGGGGTAAGATTTGCTCTTACATGTAGAATGTTTCTGCTGTGAAGATCATTCTTCTTGACAGTGAAGATACAAATGAAACAGAAACGGGAGCTTTGTATGTGACTGTATGTGACCGTGTGGTCTGTCTTCCATTAATGTGACGTGACAAGCGCCCATGAGGGTGTGTTTTCCTCTCTTGGCCTTTCTACTTCCAGATGAGGATTCGAAGCCCATTCTATTCTGTTCTCTTAGAAGTAGTAAAAGAAATTTTTTCAATGTACTATTTAGTGTATTTGTTTCTGCTTTCTTGACACTATTATATTTTTCCATTTTCTGTTAGGGGATTGGAAAAGCATACATATTTGTTGTCAGGATACAATTTTTCTGCCGAACGTATCATAAGGAGGGGGAATCACTGAGGTATTGATCAGTCCTGGGCGATGAGTTACAAACTCCATGCTGTCCAGAGGTGCTGAGGAGGGGAGTGGTCGGCAGACTCATAGAAAAATGGCTGCCAGCACTCTCTTGCCTTAAATCTTACACTGTGGGCTGGGCATTTTGGCCTCGCAATTAAGATGCCACTTGGGATGCCTGCGTACCAAATTGGAATGGTGGATTCAATAGGCTTTTTTCCTAGTCCAGCTTCCTGCTAACACATACCTTGAGAAGCAGCAGTTGATGGCTCAAGTACTTGGGTCCCTGCCACCCACACAGAAGTCCTGGCCCAGCCCTAGCTGTTGTGAGCATTTGAGGAGTGAACCAGTGTATGGGAGCTCTCTCTCTCTATTTGTGTCTTGCAAACAAATTAGAACAACAGCAACAACGTTGTGGTTCCAGACTATATTTTCTGGTTTTTGGAATTAGACCCTAATTATACTAAGTAGACTAGACCAATTTGAACTATTTTTTTTTAAAAAAAGATTTATTGGGACTAGCATTGTGTCATTGCAGGTAAAGCCACTGCTTGCAATGCCAGCATCCCATATGGGTGCTGGTTCAAGTTCCAGCTGCTCCACTTCCTATCCAGCTCCCTGGTAGTGGCCTGGGGAAGCAGTGGATGATGGCCCAAGTCTCTGGGCCCCTACAGCCCATGTGAGAGACTCCGAAGAAGCTCCTGGCTCCTTGCTTTGGCCTGTCTCAACACTGGCCACTGGGGCAATCTCTGGGGAGTGAACCAGTGAACGAAAGATCTTTCTCTCTCTCTCTCACTCTCTTCCCCCCTCTCCCACCCTCCCTCTCTCTTATTCTTTAAAAATAGAATTATAAAGGCAGAGTGACAGAGAAAAAGAGAGATTTTCCATCTGCTGGTTTACCTCCCAAATGCTCACAACAGCTGGAGCTGAGTCAGGCCAAAGCCAGGAACTTCACCCAGGTCTCCCACATGGGCGGCAAGAACCCAAGTACTTGGGCCATCATTGCTGCCCCTCAGGTGCATTAGCAGGAAGCAGAATGGTTAAGTGGAGGCAGGACTCTAACCCAGGCACTCTGAGCATCCCAAGCAGTGGCTTAACCCACTGTACCACAGTGGTCCAGTGGGACTATTTTTTTTTTTTATCTCCTGTGCCCATTAGTTGATTCAATTCATTAAATATACTGGGATTTAACTACAAAATCAATGTGGAAGTCTTCAATGCTGATATCTATGCTTGGGAAAATATGGAAGTATTTAGCAGAATACTGAGTGCCATTGCAACATTTGTTAATAAGAAACAGAACATTAACCCACTAAGATATGTTTTCTTTCTCGACAGGAACGAAAATTGAACACTTTGCAAAAATTGGGTGGAAAAACCATAAGCATTCAGTTAATAACCCGTAAGTATTTCAGAGATATAAGATAATAAAAAGTCTGGTTATCTCACTATGTAATATGCATATTTATACTTGAAAATAAAGTACAAGGCCTTGAAGATAGTTATTTTTTCTTAAAAAACTCTTCTTATAAAAATCAAAAGTAAACTTTTGACTACTTTCAGTTCTAGATTTTGGCTTGTTTATATTTAGAATATCACTTAGGCTTAATGACTTTAAAAAGAGTATAAATGAATGGTATTAAAAGATATGATTGATCATGCTTTTTACCTGTAATGATAGAAATTTATTGTGATAATTTTTTTAAAAATATTTTATTTATTTGAAAGAGTTAGAAGAAGAGACAGAGACAGAGATCTTCCATCCACTGGTTCACTCCCCAGATGGCTGAAACATCCAGGGCCAGACTGAAGCCAGGAACCTCTTCCAGATCTTCCATATGGGTAGCAGGGGCCCAACCACTAGAGTTATTTTTCACTGCCTTTTCTAGACCATTAACAGAGAGCTGAATCAGAAGTGGAGCAGCTGGAACATTAACCTGTGCCCACATGAGATGCTGGCATTTCAGGTGCCAGGTTTATCTGCTATACCACAATGCCAGCCCTCTAATGTGATAATTTTAGTTGGAAGTACAGCCACCATTTTAAATCATTCTTCAGAACTTCTCTAATTTTGTTGTGATCAATTAAAACTTTTTTAAAATGCATATTAGTGGCCGGCGCCATGGCTCAATAGGCTAATCCTCCGCCTTGTGGCGCCGGCACACCGGGTTCTAGTCCCGGTCGGGGCGCTGGATTCTGTCCCAGTTGCCCCTCTTCCAGGACAGCTCTCTGCTATGGCCCAGGAGTGCAGTGGAGGATGGCCCAAGTGCTTGGGCCCTGCACCCGCATGGGAGACCAGGAGAAGCACCTGGCTCCTGGCTTCGGATCAGCGTGATGCACCGGCCGCGGTGGCCATTGGAGGGTGAACCAACGGCAAAAGGAAGACCTTTCTCTTTGTCTCTCTCTCACTGTCCACTCTACCTGTCAAAAAAATGCATATTAGTAACTGGGATGCATTTTAATTACTTTAGTGTCATTAGCTGTAACTCTTAGCAACATGGTTATTGGGGCTGGCACTGTGGTGTAGCAAGTAAGGCCGCCGCCTGCAGTACCAGCATCCCATATAGGTGCCGGTTCAAGTCCCAGCTGCTCCACTTCCAATCTAGCTCTCTGCTATGGCCTGGGAAAGCAGTGAAAGATGGCCCAGGTCCTTGGGCACTTTCACTTGTGTGGGAGACCCAGAAGAGGTTCCTGGATCCTGGCTTTGGATTGGCACAGCTCCGGCCATTGCAGCCATCTGGGGAGTGAACCAGTGGATGGAAGACCTCTTTCTCTCTGCCTCTGCCTCTGCCTCTGCCTCTCTGTAACTCTGCCATTCAAATAAATAAATAATTTTTTAAAAAAAAGAACAACATTGGCCGGCGCCGCGGCTCACTAGGCTAATCCTCCGCCTAGCGGCGCCGGCACACCAGGTTCTAGTCCCGGTTGGGGCGCCGGATTCTGTCCCAGTTGCCCCTCTTCCAGGCCAGCTCTCTGCTGTGGCCAGGGAGTGCAGTGGAGGATGGCCCAAGTGCTTGGGCCCTGCACCCCATGGGAGACCAGGAAAAGCACCTGGCTCCTGGCTCCTGCCATCGGATCAGCGCGGTGCGCCGGCGGCTGCGGCGGCCATTGGAGGGTGAACCAACGGCAAAGGAAGACCTTTCTCTCTGTCTCTCTCTCTCACTGTCCACTCTGCCTGTCAAAAAAAAAAAAAAAAAAAAAAAAAAAAAAAAAGAACAACATGGTTATTTATATTCTAAAAAAATAAGCTGTGGGTAGGCATTTGGTGTAATGGTTAAGATGCCATTTGCAACACTTTTATCCTATGTTGGAGTACCTGGGATCAAGTCTTGGCTCTGCTCTGGATTCCAGCTTCTGCTGATACATACATCCTGGGAAGCAGCAGGTGAATAGTGCCCACCACCACATGCTAGTTCCTGACTTCCAACTTTGGACTGGCCTGGCCTTAGCTATTGTGGGCATTTGGAGAGTGTACCAGTGGGTGGAAGCTCTGTCTGTGTTTCTCAAAGGAAAAACTAAAATTGGTTTCTACTTTCTCACCTGGTGTAGCAGCTGCCTTCTTTTCTTTCTTTTTTTAATATTTTTATTTATTTATTTAACAGGTAGAGTTATAGACAGTGAGAGGGAAAGACTGAGAGAGAGGTCTTCCATCCACTGGTTTACTCCCCAAATGGCTGCCATGGCCGGAGCTGCGCCGATCTGAAGCCAGGAGCCAGGAGCTTCTTCTGGGTCTCCCACACGAGTGCAGGGGCCCAAGCACTTGGGCCATCTTCTACTGCTTTCCCAGGCTATAGCAGAGAGCTGGATCAGAAGAGAGTAGCTGGGAGTAGAACTGGTGCCCATATGGGATGCTGGCGTTGTAAGCGGAGGATTAACCTACTGCACCACAGCACCAGCCCCAGCTGCCTTCTTTTCTTTGGGCCTCAGTTTTTTTTTTTTTTAAATAAAAAATCTGAAGTAAAATGACATTAAATGCATTATAGATGAATAATATTTGAATCCCTAGTGCTTAGTGTAATACCTAGCTCTCAGCTGTACTTAATGGTTGCTGAATAAAATTCATCCATTGGGAATTGAGTTGATGCCACATAACTGGAACCCGGCAATGACATAATAGTGGCTAGTTTTATTAAATTCCCAGTACATGTCTCTCTGTTAGGCATTTTTATGTGCATTTGCACTTAATCCTCTAGGGACCCTTTAAAATAGATTTTTTTTTTAAGGATATGTTTTCTTTCTTTTAAGATTTATTTGAAAGGCAGAGTTACAAAGAGAGAGAGACAGATCTTCATTTGCTGGTTCACTCTCCAAATGGATGCAATGGCCAGGGCTGGGCCAGACCAAAGCCAGGAGTCAGGTCTCCTATGTGTGTGCAGGGGCTCCTGCATTTGGACTATCTTCTTTTGCTTTCTCAAGTGCATTAGCAGGGAGCTGGATCAATAGTAGAGCAGCTGGGTCTGGAACTGGTGCCCGTATAAGATATCAGCATTGCAGGTGGTGGCTTTACCTGCTGTACCACAATGCCAGACTTATGTTTTCTTGTAAAAAATGTTTTATTTTATTTGAAAGACATGGAGACAGAAAGTGATGGGCAGAGAGAGAAAGCTCTTCCATCCACTGATTCACTTCCCAAATGCCTGCAACATCTAGGGCTGGGCCAGGTGAAGCCAGGAGCCAGGAACTCTATCTGGGTCTCCCACAGTGGGTGACAGGGAAGCTGGAATTGGAAACAGAGCTGGGACTGCAACCCAGGCACTCCAGTGTGAGATGCAGGTGTCCTAAGTGGCTTCTTAACCTCATAGAGAAAACCCCTTCTGGTATCTGGATTTGAAATAGGTCTTGTGTGCTCCCATAGCATGCTGTGTAATATTTCTATCATAGCATTTATAATTTATGGTATTATGCATGTTAGAGTTGTATATTTCTTTGCCAAGGAATTATACAAAGTTCCTTAAAGGTAGAAACTGTGTCTATATCCCTGGAACCTAGCCAGAATGTGGCCCCAATAAGGTGCTTTTTGAAAGTTGTCAGTGATCACAGTTAACTTCAGAAGGGAAGACATGGATACTGATATGTAGATCCAAGTTACATAAGTTTTGTCCTCTAAAAATAAGAATTGCTTATTGATTTCCTCACGAGTTGAAGTTTGCTTGTATAAACTCTCATGATGTCTCTCCCTGCTGCTTTTTTGCCAGAGCTGTTTTGAAGCCATTTGATTATATTGTCGGAGAAGCCAAATAAATTTCTTCTTTTCAGTGATAAGGGGAATGTGTGTTTTTTAAAAATTATTTATTTATTGTTTGAGAGAGAGAGAGAGCTCCCATCCACTGGTTCACTCCTTAAATACCTATAAGGGCTAGGGCTGGCCCAGTATCAAAGCCAAGAACTAGAAACATAATCCAGGTCTCCCACGTGGCTGATAGTAACTCCATTACTTGAGCTGTCACCACAGCCTCCCGGGGTCTGCATTGGGTGGATGCTGGAATTGGGAACTGGTGCCAGGAATTGAACCCAGGTACTTTGATGTGGGGTGAGAGTGTCCTAGCTGCTAGGCCAAATGTCTACCCTGAGTTAGGATTTTTTAACTTAATTTAAATGGCTTATCTTTTTTTTAAAGATTGAAGCTCTTTGGGTTGTGTAAAGAATATTTACATATACTTTTCTCTCTAACTGCACCAGGATATCTTCAACAAAAGTTACAATTGCTGCCTCACATTCTGCAACTTTCTGTTTTAGGTATTCCCAGTTCCAAAAGGAATACAGTTTAGATGAAGTGATGTCATCTAGACCAATTTTTGATTTTTTGACTGTCTTACAGTGCTGGTAAGAAAAACATACTTTTCCATTTGATAGAAGTCACTGCTCCCCCGGGCCTCCCCTCTGTCGTTAAACACTAGACTCTGTTTCTGGGGTGTAGCTTTACAGAGCTCCTGCTGGTGTGGTCCCCACTCTGGGTCACTTCAGTGGAGTGTCCTTACTTCCTGCTGCCTGGATGCAGGTTGTTGTCTTGCTGGGAAAGTGGTATGTTTCACTTCCTTATTTGACTTCTACTTACTTTTGGTTGTTGTGACTTAGGAGAACAGTGGAGTCCAAAGGTTTTTTTCCTCGAGCATTTTATTTTCTCTGCTGTATATGTCTGACACAGGGAATTGTACTTTGTAACAGTAGCTAAGAGTAAAAGTAAAATGAGGAAAAAATAATAGCTCTAATGATGTTAATAGTTCATCTTACAAATAGCTTGACAATATCTGTCTTAAAAAGATTCAGTTCTGGGGGCTCCTGCTCCAGTGAAGACCTGGATGTGCCCTTGAGATGCTGGCCTGGCTGCTGGTGGACAAGTCTGGCCAGCACTGATTTGTTGTACTCCAAGGGTCCAGCTGAACTCCCAGAAGAATTCTTGTGTTGCCACCTTCCTTCACAATTTATCTAAGAGAAAGCTCTATTTTGAGGAGATCTCAAGAATTTTAAACTAAACCATGGAGTTTCTGGTATCCCCTGTCCTGTCCTTTCCCTGTTTCAAGACTGACTGATTTGGGAGATAACAAAGTTAGAGCTACATTAGGCCTAGGTTAGAATCATGTGTACCAATGTGGGGATAACCTCTTGGACTCACTTCTTAGAAAGTTACCAGAAGGTGCCTTATGCGATTTGTGGAGGCAAATCCAGGACTCTTTACACTAAGAACTATTTAGGTAAGATCCTTAGAGAAAAGCAGTGACTGACAACATTTCAATTATTGCTGGAGTTCAGAATGCAAATACAAATGGGAAGTATATGCAATTAACCCCCCCCCAACTTTTATTTGAAAAACATGTATCAAGAGAGACAGACAGTGAGAGATCTTCCATCCATTGGTTCACTCCCCGAGTGTCCACAATAGGCAGGGCTAGGCCAGTTTGAAGCCAGGATCCCAGAACTCAGTCTTGGTCTCCCACAAGGATAGAAGGGACCCAAGTATTTGAGCCATCATCTGCTGCCTCCCAGGCTGCACATTCATAGGAAGCTGAATTGGAAGCAGTGGAGCCAGGACTCAAGCCAGGCATTCTGATAAAGTTTGTGGGCATCCAGAGTGGTATCTTAGTATGCCAAATGCCTGCCCTGCATCTATAATTTTCAGTTGTAGATAGCAGAAAGCAAGCGGTTATTGGTAGCAAGCATGCTGGGCCTTTCTTCTCATATACAGAGAACCTCTAATCTGAAGTCCTAAGATTCAAGTAACACCATGTGGGAATCATTATTTTTCCTTCTTGGTAGTCCCACTTCAGATGGTGCTGCAGCAGCAATTTTGGCCAGTGAAGAATTTGTGAAGAAGTATGGCTTGCAGTCCAAAGCTGTGGAAATTTTGGCACAAGAGATGGTAACTGATTTTCCAAGCTCATTTGAAGAAAAGAGCATTATTAAAATGGTACGTCTGAGTTTTTTCATTATTACTTTAAAAACTTATTTGAAAGCAAAGAGATAGGGAGGCAGACATGCATGCGTGCACACACACACACACACACACACAGAAGGAGAGAGAATACAAAGGAGTTCCCATCCACTGGTTCACTTCCCAAAAGTCTACAGTGGCAGTCACTGGGCTGGGACCTAGGCTGGGAGCCAGGAACACACTCCAGGTCTCCCACGTGGGTGGCAGGAACCCAATTACTTGAGCCATCATTGCTGCCTTGCAGGGTCTGCATTAGCAGAAAACTGGAATTGGAATCGGAAGTAGAGCTGGGACTTGAACCCAGGCACTCCATTGTGGGTCATGGGTATCTTAATCATTAGGCTAAATATTTCTTACAAGGATTTTGTTTAATTAATAAAACTGAAGGATTACTATTTAAATTCAAGGTGATATTATGTTGTGATCAGCTGCAGAAGTCATTTACTTGCAAATAATTGATTTAGAAATTTAAAAACTATAACTCATTCTTAAGAATCTGTTAAGGGAAAACTACTGATGAGAACAGGTACATCTTATGATGGAGCCAGGAATATGATAACCTTTAACTAACCAGACTTAATATTTAAATTTTTTGAAGATTTATTTATTTGAAAGCGTTAGAGGGAGAGGCAGAGAGAGAGATGTATAGAAAGATATTTCGCATTTGCTTCCCAGATAGCTGCAGTGGCCAGGCCAAAACCAGGAGCCAGGAACTTTATTTGGGTCTCCCATATGGGTGGCAGGGGTCCAAGCCATTAATGGGGAGCTGTATTAGAAGTGGAACAGCTGGGACATGAACTAGCACCCACATGGGATAGCAGCATTACAGGCGATGGCTTTACCCACTATGCCTAAGCGCTGTCCGTTTTTGAGTTGACTTTGTGCAAAACTCCAACGTTCAGAGTTAACGGAAAAATAAGGATATTTTCAGAGCACTTTCCTTCCCTTAGCCTTCAAAAATCCTGATTAAAGACTGAATGCAAAATGGTAAAAGTATGGGTGGTGCATTGTGGTGTGAGTGTTAAGTACCACTTGGGACATTTGCATCTCCTGTTGGTGTGCCAGTTTGAGTTCTGGCTACTCCATTTCCAACTCGGCTTCCTGCTCATGTATTTTGGGAGGCAGCAGGTGATGGCCCAAGTGCTTGGGTCCCTGCCATCCAAGTGGTAGACTTGGATGGGGTTCCTGGCTCCTGGCTCTGGCCTGGCTGTTGGCTGGCATTTGGGGAGTGAACCAGCTGAAAAAAAAAAAAAAGCTCTCTCTTTCTCTCTCTGTTGCTCTGCCTTTCAAGCCAATGAAAATAATAAGCTTATTTTTTTAAAAAAAAAGAAGTAAAAAAATGAGAATTCAGATGTAGAATTAGTTGAATATTTGATGAAGTGTGAATGTGCACACACACACAGCACAATTGTGTGGTAAATTATAGTTTATAAAATGATTTCACAAGAATGCTACACATTTGAAAACATCTTTTTAATTCGCCCAAGATTACAAAGTTAGGTAGTAGCACAGGTATGGTTTAGGCAGGTTTTCTGGTTAGAGTAGATTTTTCTTTGCATCACAGTTTTATTCTTTGAAGAAAAATTGAGTTTACTGTTCTTTTATTAACTAAGACCAAAGAGGTATAAAGAGCATGGAGTTTAGAAAAATAGTTTGAATCCTGTATGATTTTTTTTTAACTTTTATTTAATGAATATAAATTTCCAAAGTACGATTTATGCATTACAATGGCTTCCCCCACATACCGTCCCTCCCACCCACTACCCTCCCCTTTCCCACTCCCTCTCCCCTTCCATTCACATCAAGATTCATTTTCGATTATCTTAATATACAGAAGATCAGCTTAGTATACATTAAGTAAGGATTTCAACAGTTTGCTCTCACACAGAAACATAAAGTGAAAAATAATAGATGATTTTTTTTAAATGATGATGAAATCAGATCAGACCTATTGTCATGTTTAATCCCAGTGAGAGTCAAGTTGGGAGTTGATAATTTCTTTCTTTTTTTTTTTTTTTTTTTTTTACAGAGGATCAGTTTAGTATACATTAAGTAAAGATTTCAACAGTTTGCACCCCCATAGAAACACAAAGTGAAATATATTGTTTGAGTACTCGTTATAGCATTAAATCTCAATACACAGCACATTAAGGACAGAGATCCTACATGAGGAGTAAGTGCACAGTGACTCCTGTTGTTGACTTTACCAATTGACACTCCTGTCTATGGCATCAGTAGTCTCCCTATGCTCCAGTCATGAGTTTCCAAGTGAATCCTGTATGATATTTTAAAAAAAGATTATATATTTTTATATAGCAATTCTTCCTTATTTTCCAGTGTGTCTGAGTCATAATGACCTGTTGATAAATCTCTTCAGCCTATTTACCACAACCTACACATTGTGGCTTGAGAGAGTTTTTGAATGATCAGAGGATTTCTAAGTCTATTTTAAATATCTTACTTAAAAATTCTGTCTATTATAGTACAAACTTTATGTATACATTCTTCTTCCTGAATATTATTTTATTTGGACTTCTTTGTAATACAGGATCAAGTGGGATTTCAGTATGCTTGTCAGTTCTCAGAATTAAGGTTATGCATATTTTAATCTCTCTAATTCTGGTTTAAAAGACCCAGTTCTGGTGCCATAAATTCATTTATATATGGTTTTGGTTTTAGGTTGGGTTTGATATGAGTAAAGAAGCTGCCAGAAGATGCTATGAGAAATCTGGCTTGAGACCAAGTGATATTGATGTAATAGAACTTCATGATTGCTTTTCTGCCAACGAACTCCTCACTTATGAAGCACTAGGACTCTGTCCGGAAGGTAATACCTTTGAAGAGGGTAGATTAGCTGTGTAAATTTCCCTGAGAGAGCTCCACTTTAACTATTAAAGAAAAGGAATTCCCTGCCTACCTTTCTCTCCCCATTGGCGCTGCCACATTGTGAAAGGTGAACCTGAGCTATTTCAAGTTATGTTTAAATAAATGCTTAAAGAAAGGCAAATGGAAAAACTAGTGACGACCTGATATTTAAAAAAATTTTATTTGCTTATTTAAAATTTATTTTAGGGGCTTGCTTGCATTGTGGCATAGCAGGTAAAGCTGCTGCCTGCAATGCTGGCATCCCATGTGGGTGCCAGGTCAAATCCCGGCAGCTTCACAAGTCTGATCCAGCTCTCTGCTAATGTGCCTGGGCCTGGGAAAGCAGCAGAAGATAGCCTAAGTGCTTGGGGCCCTGCACCCATTTGGGAGACCTAGATGAAGGTCCTGGCTCCTGGCTTCTGCCTGGTCCAGGCCTGGACATTGTAGCCATCTGAGGGGTAAACCAATGGATGCAAGATTGATCTCTGTCCCTCTCTCTCTCTCTCTGACTTTCAAATAAATATATAAATCTTCAAAAAAAATTATCTTTTTTTTTTTTTTTAACTTTGAAAGTCAGAGAGAGAGAAACAGACAGAAAGAGAGAGATTTCATTCCTCAAATTCCTGCAACAGCTAGGACTAGGTCTGGGCTAGGCTGAAGCCAGGAGCCAGGAAATCATTCCAAGTCTCCGACGTGGGTGCCAGGGACTCAACCACTTAAGTCATCACCTGCTGCCTCCCAGGGTGCACATTTTGCACATTCTCCAGAATATAGTCCAATGTTCCTGTATGGGATGTGGGTATCCCAAACAGCATCATAACCACTAGGCCAAATACCTGCCCCAGGTTTTTCCCGCTCATTTTTAGGGTGTACTGTTTTCCATTACTACCAGCAGTGTGTGAGTTTCAGATGTTTTACATCCTTGCCAACACTTGATATGGTCAGTTTTAAAAACTTTAGCCATACTAAAAATCTTATTTTAGTTTGCACATCTCTGGTAACTAATGATATGGACGGTCTTTTCATTTGCTTGTTGGTAGTTCATTTATCTTGTTTGTTTATTGGGTATTTGTCTTTATTGTATTGTGAAAGCCAATTATTTATAAGTAAGATTAATTTTTATGGTGAGTAATACCTTTATCAATGGAATATCATGTTCTGTAGTCTTTTATTTTTTTAATAAATCTTTTATTTTTTAAAGATTTATTTGAGGGGACCAGTGCAGTGATTTCAATTTCTGAACCCCTTGATTAGAGGGATGGGGTTTCTCTTAGGGGCTTTTTGCCTGTGGTACCCTGTTGCCGTGCTGTTCCAGAACTGTGCTCTATCTTGGGGTACAGCTGCAAAGAGAGAACATAAAAAATTGCTATTGAGAACTCACTTTTGTGAAGTGGCTCCTCCAAATTTTGACTCCCTCTCTGATCCCTGTGTTTCTGTTCACTTTTCAGTCCTCAGGTAGTTTTATTTGTTTATTTAATTTAAAAAAGATTTTATTTATTTATTTGAGAGGCAAAGTTATGGACAGAGAGAGGGAGAGGTAGAAAGGTATTCCATCTGCTGGTTCACTTCTCAAATGGAGGTGGGCCAATCTGAAGTCAAGAGCCAGGAGCTTCTTCTGGGCCTCCCATATGGGTGCAGGGGCCCAAGCACTTCGGCCATCTTCTACTGCCTTCCTAGGCCTTAGCAGAGAGCTGAATAGGAAGAGGAACAGCTGGGACATGAATTAGCACCCACAGGGGATGCTGGCACTGCAGGTGGAGGCTTAGCCTACTATGCCACATCATTGGCCCATTTATTTAATTTTATCTAGTGTTTTCAGTTGTACTCAGTGGGAAAGATGGACTGTTGTGAATATGTCCTGCCTTAGCAGAACTAGAACTCGGTCTCGAGGTTAAATATGATGATGCCTTTGAGATTTATATCTCCAGCTTGAATACTTTCCTAATCTCTAGACTTACATGTCCAGCTGCCTACTTTTCAAGATTTTTTTTTTAATGTCTCGTAAACATCTTAAACCTAAGTTCAAAATTAAACTCCATATATTATTATCCACCCAAAATTATGGGCCTGCCTCCTGGCAGATTCTAAGAAAATCACTAGAAGGAGTTTTCACCCAAAGAAATTTATTTGCAGCAAGTATGGGGACCACAGGGAATAGTTTACAACACAACTCACTGTTGTGGGTCATCTGGGGAGTGAGCTAGTGGATAGAAGATCTCTCTATTTATTTCCCCCTCTCTCCATAACTCTGGCTTTCAAATAAACTAAAATACTTTTCTTTTGAGGAAAAGGGAAAGTTCTTGTCCTCACATATGGGGCAGGAACAAGTCTGCTCTGGTGCAGGTCAGAAACACGCACCAACAGAGGCTGCATGTTGTGGTTATAACGCTTCAGCTCCTCCTGGGGCAGAGATCTTAGTACTAAAATGAAAAAGGGTGGGGCCCGCGCTGTGGCTGCAGCGCCAGTATCCCATATGGGCTCCAGGCTCAGGTTCAAGTCCTGGCTGCTCTACTTCTGGTCCAGCTCCATGCTAATGGCCTGAGATAGCAGTGGAAGATGGCCCAAATACTTGGGCTGGTGCACCCGTGTGGGAGACCTGGAAGAAGCTCCTGGCTCCTGGCTTCAGATTGGCTCAGCTCTGGCCATTGTGGCCATTTGGGGAGTGAACCAGTGAATGGAAAACCTCGCTCTCTCAGTCTCTACCTCTCTCTGTAACTGTCTTTCAAATAAAAAAAAAAATTAAAAAAAAAAAGAAATCTTAAAAAAGAAATCTCAAGCCGCACACGTCCTTTTCAGTTCTTTTTTGGAAAGATTTAGTTACTTATTGGAGAGGCAGAGTTAGAGAGAGAGAGGGAGATACAGAAAGATCTTCTATTCACTGGTTCACTCCCCAGATGGTTGCAATGGTCAAGGCAGAGCCAGACTAAAACCAGGAGCTTGGAGCTTCATCTGGGTCTCTGACATAGGTTGCGGGGTCTCAGACACCTGGGCCATCTTCCACTGCCTTTCCCAGGCCATTAGCAGGGAGTTGGATCACAAGTGGAGCAGGGGGCCGGCGCCGTGGCTCACTTGGTTAATCCTCTGCCTGCGGCGCTGGCATCCCTTATGGGTGCTGGGTTCTAGTCCGGTTGCTCCTCTTCCAGTTCAGCTCTCTGCTGTGGCCCGGGAAGGCAGTGGAAGATGGCCCAGGTGCTTGGGCGCCTGCACCTGTGTCAGAGACCAGGAAGAAGCACCTGGCTCCTGGCTTCGGATTGGCGGCCATTTTGGGGGGTGAACTAACGGAGGGAAGACCTTTCTGTCTGTCTCTCTCACTGTCTAACTCCATCTGTCAAATAAATTAAAAAAAAAAAAAAAAAAAAAAAAAAAAAGTGGAGCAGCTGGGATATAAATGGGCGCCTGTGTGGGATGCTGGAGTCGCAGGTGGCGGCTTTACCTGTTGTGCCACAATGCTGGCCCCCCCATTTCAGTTCTTCTGGCTCTCTGAATCTCTTACATTTGGGGCAGTTTTGGAAGCCAGAGAGCTCTTAGGAACTAATAGGAAATGTGTTTCATATAGGAACTGTTCTGAAAAGATTAGCCTTTATTACTCAATATTTACTACTTAGATTTTAGAAGTGCTTATAGTAAGTTATTGGTAGCTTGACCTATTAAGAAATAATTACTCTGAGGCAGGCTTTTGGTCTAGCAGTTAAGATACATGTTGGAGTATCTGGGTTTAATGCCTGGCTGTGGCTCCTGACTCCAATTTCTTGCTATGCAGACTCTAGGAGGCAGTGGTGATGGTTCAGGTGATTGGGTTCCTGCCACCTATGTGGGAGATATGGATTGCATTTCCAGCTCCCAGTAGTGGCCCAGGCCCAGCCCAGCCCTAGCTCTTGAAGGCATTTTGGAAGTGAACTAGCAAATGGGAGCTCTCTCTGTCTTTCTGCTTCTCAAATAAATAAGTAAATAGTAATGAAAAAGAAATGTTTACTCCAAGACATACCTGGCTATGTGGAAAGTAAAAAAAAATTTGCTCCAATGTTATTTTTAACATTTTTGAACATTTTGTTTTGTAGGACAAGGTGGAGCACTGGTTGACAGAGGAGATAATACTTACGGAGGAAAGTGGGTCATAAACCCTAGTGGTGGATTGATTTCAAAGGGACACCCCCTGGGAGCTACAGGTAATATCTTCACAGATTTCTAATTTTTGTAATCATTTTTGCCATAGTGTGAACTAGTCATTAATTAAATGAAAGATTGTTTTCTTGATATAGAACAATCCCTAAAACCAGTTGGCTGAGTTGCTGTATAACCTCCAGAGCTAGGTCGGCTCACCCATCTCAGAGAAAACCAGTCACATCAGATTGGTGGAAGAAAGGAGGTGCTGCTGGGCAGCTCTCCCTTAATTCCTGGGCTCCCCAAGGGGTTAGGGAGGAGGTTCCTACAGATTGAAGTTGGGGCTTGCGAGGTGCATGTTCAGCCCACGCCCTAGTTCCTTGGTCTGCAGTGCTCATGGCTGCCTTTGATTGGTCAGCCATACCATGTTCTTTATGATGGAAAAGTGGCCTTCATTCAGTCTGGGGGATACATCCAGATGGTAATTACTTTTGGCCTTGGGCCTCGAATTCTCCTGAACAGAAACCCCTTGAGATAATACCCACCATCAAGATGTTAATTATTGTAGAAGCAAATAGTCTCATGAGTCTCATGATAGCTGCACCACATTTAATTTTTAAAGCAGATTTATTTATTTATTTGAAAGGCAGAAAGAAAGAAAGAGCCAACTTCCATCTGTTGGTTTACTCCCCAAATGGCTGCAACAGCTGGGGCTGGACCAGGCTGAAGTCAGGAGCTAGGAATCCAACCAGGTCTCCCATATGGGTAGGGTACAGGGGCCCCCGTGCTTGGCCATCTGCTGCTGCTTTCTTAGGCACTTTAGCTGGCAGCTGGTTCTGAAGTGGAGCAGCTGGGACTTGAACTGGTGCTCCGTGTGGGATGCTGGCATCACAAACAGTGGCTTAACCCTGCTGCACCGCAACACTGACCCCAGTAAGTTAATTTTAGTAAGAGGTTGCTTTGCAAAAATCAAAAAATAGGGAAAGGACACCTTAAGCTAGGTGAGGGAGGTGGGGTGGCTGGGATGTGGTGGTATCCAGTTTCTGCATTAAAGTGCTGTTTGGGGTTTGGTTTCATTCTTTATAAACTTGGTAGCTAGCTTTAAGTGATTGTTTGGCTGCAGTGTTTTGATTTTCTTTTAATTACAGTGCCCTTAATAATCTAGATTAATTGATGAGAATTTGAGTTAATTAAATTCAACAATATATATTTTAAAAAAGTTTGATTATCCTCAGATAGTTATATGACTCAACTAACAGAATGTTTCCAAATTGAGATCTTGCTAGGCCTGCAGAATCATTTCAAATGAGTACATTATTTATGTGTGGTTGTATGTGTGGTGTTACATGGAAATTATTTTCTCTTGAGACAATGGGACTAGAAGTTATGAAATAAGAATTTTATGATGGCTTTGCTATTGGCTGACTATGTGAATTTTTATCAAATAACCAACTAATCATTTTGACTCTTACAATTAAGCTAATTTTAAAATGATAAACTTATCTAATGCCGTTTTCTAAAATAACTTTTAGCACAGAAGTAGCATGGTTTGTTTCTGGAGATAGGTGGGTTTGTGCTTTTTCCATATTGTTTTATTATATTATTATTATTTTATTATATTATTAATTTAGTAATTTTATAAATTTTCACAAATTCCAGAATAGGGAAGTTAGAATTAATAGCGTTAAGTATATTCATTATAGTACTTAACCTTGGCTTATTTATCAAATTGAGTAAGCTAATACTGTAGTAAATAGTGGGGGAGAGAGAGAGAAAAGAGAGAACGGGTGCCTGGAGGTAGGTGGACAGAGGTAGTTGATTGTGGGCATCTTGGCCACTGGCTGGGCTTTTTCCGGCTGCTTGTCTCTATGTGTGTAAGAATTCAAGGAGAAGGCATGAAGGTATACAGGGAAGCTGGATTTATTGAAAGGGATAGTACACACTTGGAGGTGAGTGAGAGCAAATCTCTTCCCTGGGAAGGAAGGGCTGCTGCCCCAACCAAAGCTGGGATTGTCCTTTTGTGGTGTAGGGGCTGGTACCCCAACTGAGTGTTCCAATGGGTAGAGTTTTGGTGGGGCTTTAGTATTGCTGACTTCTGTGCCCCCTTTTTGGGAATCTTGAAAGTGTTATGGCATCTCATACATGTGGGAAATGAGGCTCAGGTGCATGCTGGGGAATGGGTGTGCTGAGCCTGGGGTCATGTTGGATCATCATGATGGAGGTGGGGTTTGGGTGGTGCAGGACTGGATGCAGATACTGCTGACAGTCTCAGCTTCTGTTCACTGTCTCTTTCTTTTTATTTCTTCTTTGGTTCTTTTCTTCTTTTTATGCCATTAAAAGTTAATTGGACATTTGTTAGTATTTTATTTTCTTACTTCTGTTGAATTACTTCTTTTTAAAAAAATTTAGTGATTGCTGTAGGATTTACAGCGTACCCATAACTTATCATGTTCTACCTTCAGTAGGGTTGCATTTCTTCACATGTACTACAAACGTATCTCCATTTACCCGTCGTTTCCTCTGTGTTGCTGTTGTTATCTATTTACTTCTGAATGTGTTTTAAACCCCACAGTGTACCATTATTATTATTATTGTTATTATTTAAAGATTTATTTATTTATTTGAAAGGCAGAGTTAAAGAGAGTGAGAATGAGAGGCAGAGAGAGAAAGAGATGTTTTCCATCCGCTGGTTCACTCCCCAGTTGGTCACAATGGCCGGAGCTGCACTGATCTGGAGCCAGGAGCTTCCTCTGGATCTGCCACACTGGTGCAGGGGCCTAAGTACTTGGGCCATCTTCTGCTGCTTTCCCAGGCCATGGCAGAGAGCTGTATCGGAAGTGGAGCAGCCAGGACTTGAACTGGCACCCATATAGGATGCTGGCACTACAGGTGGCGACTTTACCTGCTACACCACAGTGCCGGCCCCGTACCATTATTACTACTGCTTCAATCTAGTGTCTTTCAAACAAATCTAAAAATGAGAAGAATGAGAGGGATGAAGTGATAAAATAACAATATTGCAAAATCTTCTCCTTCATACAAACATCAACACTGGCCAAAACTGTCAAGTTCAGCTTTCTCATAACTTCATAAATTAACCAAACACATCACTCTGGGCAGTATATATTTAGAACAACAGTGACAGAGACTGAGTCACTGTGTGATAGCAAGCTGTGGGGCACGTCCATGTGCTTTAATGCCACCCCCCTTATCCCCAGCTCCATGGCAGCCTATAATGCTGGTGAAAATGAGCAGCCTGGCTGGCACTGATGGAGTTAAAATGAGGAGGGAGGTTTGTGCAGAGTCCCATCCTGGAGAACTGCCATTATTTGACCTGTCTGGCAGTTGGCTGTTGAACCCCACTTTATTTAAGCTGACTGTAAATACATGCAGAAGCGTTGTCAAGACAGTGACAACTGTTTTAACAGTGTAGCTACTTGAGGTGCCAACTGGGGTCAACAACAAATTAAACAAAAACCTTAAAAGAAAAAGCTGGGGAATGAGATGTCTATCTGAACATATCTGAAGTCTTGGGAATCTAGAAGGCCAAGGGCATTAAGGCTATGCACATGGCCAGGGCTGTGTGCATATTCAGGAAAGACCTTGGAAGGTCCTAAGCCCTCATCTCTGACTGGCATTGGGACTTTGCACAAGCAGATGTAAAAACTAAGGCAGAATTTCCCACTGCCTGGTTGAATACTCCAGTGCATGTGCACGCGTGCCCACACACACACACACACACACACAGAGCAGAGACAATGGCATGTCATAGTTTCAGGCATTTAAGGGAATCTCTATCTAGTCGGTCGCTAACCACCAAGCTAAGTGAGAAGAAAACTCAGTGGCTGTATGTGACAAAAGAACACTGACTTTACATAATTAGTTCAGGAAGTTCACCAAATAAACAATAAACAGCAAAAATATCAAACTCTGGGAAAAGGAGAGAATTTGATTTTTATAGTAGCCATGAATACCATGGGGTATTCAGAAAAAAAAAAAAAAGCCTCCCTTGAGACATGCACAGAAATGAGAAAGCACAGGCAGCACACAGGGAAAGAAGCAGTCAATAGGACTATCGCCAAGAAAGCCAAAATATGGAACCTATTAGACAAAGACTTTTTTTTTTTTTTTGGCAGGCAGAGTGGATAGTGAGAGAGAGAGAGACAGAGAGAAAGGTCTTCCTTTGCCGTTGGTTCACCCTCATCAGCACCGCGCTGATCCGATGGCAGGAGCCAGGTACTTCTCCTGGTCTCCCATGGGGTGCAGGGCCCAAGCACTTGGGCCATCCTCCACTGCATTCCCTGGCCACAGCAGAGAGCTGGCCTGGAAGAGGGGCAACCGGGACAGAATCCGGTGCCCTGACCGGGACTAGAACCCGGTGTGCCGGCGCCGCAAGGCGGAGGATTAGCCTAGTGAGCCGCTGCGCCAGCCTAGACAAAGACTTTTTTAAAAATTAGATTTATTTATTTATTTGAAGAACTAAAGAGAATAGGGAGAAACAAAGAGAGAGAGAGAGAGATGTTCTGTCTCCTAGTTCACTCCCCAGACGCCTGCAAAGGCCAGCACTGAGCCAGGCCGAAGCCAGGAGCTTTAACCAGTCTCCCATGTGGGTGGCAGAGGTCCAGACATTTGGGCCATCTTCTGCTGCTTTTTCCAGGCCATTAGTAGGGAGCTGGATTGGAACTGGAGCAACTGGGACATGAACCCTCACCCATATGGGATGCTGCCATCACCGGTGGCAACTTAACTTGCTATGTCACAATATAACTCCGTAGACAAAGACTAAATCAGTTATTTTAAGTGTGTTCAAAGAACTAAAGGAAACATAAAGAACTAAAGGAATGTATACAAACACTGTTTCACCAAAATAGAGAATAATAACAAATCTAAGTCAAAGAAAAGAACTAAATAGGAATTCTGGTATTGAAAAGAAATCCAACACAAAGATCAAGGAAGGATAAGCCCCTAGGTTTTAGTGGGCATCAGAATTCAAAGGTGTACTGCAGATGAAGAGAAAGAGCTATTTAACAGTAATCAGGGACAGGTGTGGTGGTGCAGCAGGTTA